TGTCCATTCTGACAATATGACTTAGACATCATGAATGCACTGGCCTTTAACGTAACTTGGACATACTGCTCCGTAAGGTAAAGATCATAGTACACGTATATATTAGTGCAGTCATATTTATAATTTATTTGTACTTGTAGTCACAACTGGCGATAAACGTAACTTGGACATACTGCTCTGTAACTTGAAGATCATGGCACACGTATATCTGTGGAGGTTTTGCTGAATTCTTTAGATCATTTATTTGGCATATTTTTCAAGCACTAATCATGTGAGTGGGCTTTTATTGGTGGAAATTGGTAAGACACATATATTAACAAAGGTTTGTTGAAAGAATTTAGTCAACTTGTCAACGTATTTTTCTTCTAGTTAACTAAACACCATGATAATATAACACCTACCTCAAAGAAGATACACAATGAGCTAAGTGTTACGTGATGCTTTTGTTAAGTAGAAGTAAAACAATTTGACAAATCGACTGAAATATTTTAACAAATCTTTCTAATATTGTATTTTACTAATCTTCTATATGAATGAAAGCCCACTGACACCATTTGTGGTTGCAAATAATAAATGATCTTAAGAATTTATCAAACCTTCACAAATATCATGATCTGAACGTTACGTTGCAGTATGTCCAATAGGGTGGTCCAAAATATGGCGAAAAACCAACTTTGTTTCGGATCATCTTCCTCATTTGACTTACTGTTGTCCATGACCTAAAACACCCGCACACCAAATATTGAGACCCAAATCCCATGGGAAATTTACCCACGCTTCGACTGAAAATTCAGTTATTTCATGATTTTTTGCTATTTTCGATAAACTGACATCTCCCTTTTCCTGGTATAATATGTTTCTATTTTTTCATAGTAAACATTTTTGGAGGACTCTTTATTACTTCATAATACTAGGAACCCATACACCAAATTTTGAGACCCAAATCCCATGGGAAATTTACACACGCTTCGACTGAAAATTTGTGTTTTTAATGATTTTTCGCGATTTTCGATAAATTGCTGTCTCCATAGTGTTGGCGTTATATGCTTATATCTATATTTTTTAGACATTCAGGAGAGACCTTTTCTGTCCTTCTTAATTCTTACAACCCTTATATCAAAAAACCAAGACTTTAATTCTATTCAAAGGTGACAACAAACACAATAGTTTTTGGCTAAAATATTTGAATTTACATATGCAGATTCATATACTGTGGTAGTGGCCAAGTACAGTATATCATGTTTTGCATGTGATTTCCAGTTTGTAACAATCTTCTTTGTGCGACCTTGCATCATTTGCTTTGGTTATGTCATTTCAGAGCTAATGCTTGAAACATTTGTTATACAGCCATTAGCACTAAATGTTCATTAGAAATGGGAAAGCTGAATAGAACATCAAATGCCTCCAAGATTTGGGAGAAGTTTGATGGACCAAGCAGAGAGACCATACCACATTTGCATTTACCTATCAAAAGAATAGTACTCCAAAGATACAGAGGAATAAGATCTTGTAGTGAAAGCTCAGGCAAATGAGACACTGTATCAGACTATGTAAAACAATGTTGGGATGAAATGAAGTTACTCTTGGACGCTTCACGTATCCCAACTACTGATGAAAGAAATGGAATAAGAAAAATCCATGATCTAGTCAAATGGTTTGATAAGATTGCTGCTAATAAAAGGTATGTATCCAACAGTGAACATGATATTGGAGTGCAAAATGCCCTCAAAGAATTGCTTGACCTTGCCCCAAAAGATGTAGAAAAATGCATGAAATCTCATGGAAATCCAAACTGGAAAACAGACTATGATTTCTATATTAACCAGAGAACCTACCCACAGACACTCAGTATGGGAGAAGTTGATCGTGAAACAATAGCTCGAGAAAAGAGAACAGAAAAAGATTAAATATAGAAATCATAGTCTGTTTTCCAGTTTGGATTTCCATGAGATTTCATGCATTTTTCTACATCTTTTGGGGCAAAGTCAAGCAATTCTTTGAGGGCATTTTGCACTCCAATATCATGTTCACTGTCAGATAAATACCTTTTATTAACAGCAATCTTATCAAACCATTTGACTAGATCATGGATTTTTCTTATTCCATTTCTTTCATCAGTAGTTGGGATACGTGCAGCGTCCCAGAGTAACTTCATTTCGTCCCAACATTGTTTTACATAGTCTGATACAGTGTCTCGTTTGCCTGAGCTTTCACTACAAGATCTTATTCCTCTGTATCTTTGGAGTACTATTCTTTTGATAGGTAAATGCAAATGTGGTATGGTCTCTCTGCTTGGTCCAACAAACTTCTCCCAAATCTTGGAGGCATTTGATGTTCTATTCAGCTTTCCCATTTCTAATGAATGTTTAGTGCTAATGGCTGTATAACAAATGTTTCAAGCATTTGCTCTGAAATGACATAACCAAAGCAAATGATGCAAGGTCGCACAAAGAAGATTGTTACAAATTGGAAATCACATGCAAAACATGATATACTGTACTTGGCCACTACCACAGTATATGAATCTGCATATGTAAATTCAAATATTTTACCAAAAACTATTGTGTTTGTTGTCACCTTTGAATAGAATTAAAGTCTTGGTTTTTTGATATAAGGGTTGTAAGAATAAAGAAGGACAGAAAAGGTCTCTCCTGAATGTCTAAAAAATATAGATATAAGCATATAACGCCAACACTATGGAGACAGCAATTTATCGAAAATCGCGAAAAATCATTAAAAACACAAATTTTCAGTCGAAGCGTGTGTAAATTTCCCATGGGATTTGGGTCTCAAAATTTGGTGTATGGGTTCCTAGTATTATGAAGTAATAAAGAGTCCTCCAAAAATGTTTACTATGAAAAAATAGAAACATATTATACCAGGAAAAGGGAGATGTCAATTTATCGAAAATAGCAAAAAAATCATGAAATAACTGAATTTTCAGTCGAAGCGTGGGTAAATTTCCCATGGGATTTGGGTCTCAATATTTGGTGTGCAGGTGTTTTAGGTCATGGAAAACAGTAAGTCAAATGAGGAAGATGATCCGAAACAAAGTTGGTTTTTCGCCATATTTTGGACCACCCTAATGTCCAAGTTACGTTAAATGCCAGTGCATGTATTAATCTTGAAAATATGACATAAGATATTTATTATTTATGATGCAAATATCCATCCACATGACACATATAAATTAAGACAATTTGACATTGATTTGTGATACATGAATCCATTCCTATTATGCATATAAATTAAGACAATATGACATTGATTTGTGATACATGTATCCGTTTCTATGACACATATAAATTAAATACTGTGTAAAATAATAATAGTATTAAATTTGAAATTCAAATACCCTACACTTCAACATCTGTATTTGGGCATACTTTTGGGCTGTCTATTATTCTCCTAGTTGCACCATCTTTATTTTTAGCTCACATGGGTGAGCTATGGTTATGTTAAAGGGTAGAATCTCTGTAGAATTAAAGAGGTTAAATGCTTGATTATATATATTATTTCAGTATTTTACAACCACATTTTTCAGTTTAGTTGCCATATTGTATCATTGCCTACATTATCTGGGATTGTATATCATATTTGTTTATTATCCCATTGAACGAAGTTCGGAGGGATATAGGGAACGCCTCTGTCCATCCGTCTGTCCGTCCGTCCGTCTGTCCATCCGTCCGTACGTCTGGGCAATAACTCAAATACCGTTGGCCCGATTTTGTTTATATTTTGTGCACATATACCCAATGGGGGTAGGCGTTCTGCTCAAAAACCAATTTTCAAAATGACCGCTCATTTAAAAATGGCGGCCATTTTAGTGCTGATTTTACAGTAATTTAGGTACATATAATACTGTAAAAGCAATATGTTTTAAATGTAAAAAGTTATATAGGACATTGATTAAGCTAGAATGTAAATACAGAAGAAAAACATGGCAGCCATCTTAAAAAATGGCTGCCTTTGCACGTCATTTTAAGATTTTTGCTGTAACTTGAAAAGTAGTGGAGCGATTTTGTTCATATTTGGTATGTGAATACTTTAAGCATGGCATAATGTCTAATGACATTTTTGGTAGTAGGCGGCCATTTTGAAAAATGGCTGCCATTTTTACGTGTGTAAATTAACAGTTTTTACTGTAAGTCAGAAAGTAGTGTCCGCGATTTTTTTCATATTTGGTATGGGAATGCTTTAAGCATGGCCCAGTGTCTAATGACATGTGTGGTAGTAGGCGGCCATTTTTCAAAATGGCTGCCATTTTTACATGTGTTATATTACATTTTTACTCTAACTCAAAAATAAGTAGAGCGATTTTGTTCATATTTTATATGTGAATACTATAAGCATGGCACACTGTGTAATGACACTTTGGAAAAATGGCCACCATTTTTTTTTTTTTTTTTACTACAACTTGAAAAGTAGTGGAGCAATTTTGTTCATATTTGATATGTGAATACTTATGAACCTTGCACACTGTCTCATGACATGAATGGTGGCCATTTTGAAAAATGGCCACCATTTTTATTGGTGTTATTTTACATTTTTTATTATACTTCAAAAAGTAATAGAGCGATTTTGCTCATATTTGATATGTGAATACTCGTAAGGATTGCATACTGTCTTATGACATTATGGGTAGTAGGTGGCCATTTTAAAAAATGGCCAGCATTTACATGTATGTGTGAGCAATTTTTAAAATTTTTTATATGTGGCTACTTAAAAACATATTACTTCTCCTTATGACAACTTGGCTAGTGAGCAACCATTTTGAAAATGGTGGCCTTTCTTATAGGTATTATTTTACGATAATTGCTACATATTTTGTTTGTAAAAATGCCAGCCATTTCTGTTCGATGGGATTCCCTCCGCTTTGGCGTTGCCATTGTTCTGGTTAAAAAAAATATTTACAGTTTTATGTAAATAAAGAATATTTTTATTTGTAGTCATGTACACTCATTTACATAGATATTAGATTTGTTTATGTCAGCTATTTGTGTAAATCTAGAATGTGTTTATTAACAATTTTATGCACTCATTATGTATCAGAATTGTTTATTTATGTACATATGTCACTTGTGTAAGTTACACATTATGGTATGTTATTTTACAACTTAGTGCACAATTTCACATAGATATGTAAATATTTGTTGAGCCAAGTAGGAGGTATATACTTGGCAGGCCAAAAAAACGCCACTTTTTAAAAAAAAATGCTATAACTTTTTTAATATTTGATCCAATATCGTAATTTGCATACCAAATGAAACTTGAAGTTGCAATCTAGCCATGCATTATGAATTACACACTTTTACTTGAATAAAATATGTCACCAGCATCTCACTTTAATAAAAAATAAAATAAAACATGTATCAAGTCATATCTATGAATAATTTGAGATCACAATTACGCTTTGTACAAATTTTATGCCTTCAAAACATAGTGACCCCTTGGAATATATGTGATATCAGGGGGGATAAATGACAAGTACTCTGTAAATATGAGATTTTAGGTAAGGAAAAAAAATAGACATGCTATTAAGGATAAATAACAGGTTATACTAGGTGGCTTGAGTTAAAGACTTTGCTCAAGATCATTTAAAAAAAATTCCTTAATTAAAAGGGTATTTCATAGGGGGCGCCACCTATACAAGGCTGTAAAAAATTTTGCCCACCAGTGCCAAACCGGCACAGTTCTGATTTTGAAAGTCAATTACATATAGATGAAGAAAATACAAAGACATAGCATACATCCTAGAAAGCAACCAGGTCCATAGATTCCGCAGGACTAGTGTGCCATGAGAAAAAAATATTGCATAATGTACCTGAACTGATACGGCCTGCTGACCACCCAGCTAATAGTCCTGATGCAAATCCCAGTGATTATAGCATCTTGGGAGGTCTCCAGGAGATGGTCTAAAGGCACTAGAGGTGTAACTCCCGAGTCCATAACTGGAGTACAGCTCGTCAGAGCTGCCTATACATTGCCTCGAGTTGTCCTCAAGAAACTCGCAATCTATTTCAGCTCGCGAGCTAGCTATAAGTTGAAAAGCTATCATCAAAAACTGAGGCAGACCAATTGAACTCCCCTTTTAGATCAAATACAATCCAAGTTGAAGGCCCTATCATATTATTTTATTACTCAGGACCTCTGGCACCACCTCTGGCCCACTCTGTATTGGTGAATATACCTAGATGATCCTAGAATTTTGACCCAAATATGGGGTTCGTGTTTGTGAATATACCCAGATAATCCACATAATATAGACCCAAGATCAGGGTTCATATTTGTGAATCACCCCAAGGATCTTAGAAATATTGACTCAAGAATAGGATATATATTGGTGAATTTACCAAGATGATCCAAGAAATATTGACTCAAGAATGGGAGATATTTTGGTGAATATACCCCAATTATCCCTGTAATATTTACCCAAGGATTTGTTTCATGTTTGTGAAAATACCCCAATGGTCAAAGGTAGAAACTGACCAAGAATTGGGTTAGTTAATATACCCTCACAGGCTATTGGAATATACTTTTGTGAGCAGAGTGTATTTGGGATTGAGCAGTACTCCTTGTCTCACTAATAAAAATAAAAGTATAGGTTCCTTCAATTTACTGATACAAACACTGTATGCTGTAAGCATTTCTATGCTGTCTTCAGTTTATAAAAGTGATAAAATAATTCATTCAACATGTTAGATATTATGTATCTGTTCTTCTACATTTTATAAGTATACCAACCCCTGTTGTTGGTTGTGGGTTATTACAACGCACAGAGTTATGCTGTGCATCACTGCAATCACATGCAGCCTTGGCTTTCCGTCGCGCTGTCTCCATGTTTGAGTCATCATTAAAGTACAACCCAGAGCTTTTCCCAGCATGTATGGTTCCAGCAGGAAGTTTGAATAAAGCATATTTTGGGTCATACTGATAGTTTTTTAGTACATTTGTCATGTAAGCTAAGCATTCGGTTCCTATGCCTAAAATTCCAACAATAGTTTCATCTTCAGCTTCTTGAAATTCTGATGTTATGATGTTTCCACTTCCCTTATATTCCAGGCACACTGTCCCATTTTTGGTCACATCCTCTCTATTGCCATACAACTTGTTCTTTGTTTCAATGTGGTCACCTCCATAGCTTGATACAATGACTCTTGATTCATCTGGGTACAGTGTTCCTCCATTTACACCATCACTCCACACCTCCATCCTGACTTTAATATACCATGCCCAATGTTCAGCTGGAGCTTTTGGGAACCAAATCAAAGGATAAAGTGAGTTTGTACTAGAACATTCAGAGAATCTGGTACATGCTGTGTACTCAATAAATGTGTTACTTTGTCTGTAGAAGCTATAATGAGAGTTATTCTTTTCACTCTTCATACAGTTTATGTAAGCCTGTGTATATGGATATTGACAGGCCGTTCGGTCACATTTCATGCATTCTGGTTCCTTCTGGACAAGGTTAGAGCAATACATACAGAAATCAGAGTCTTCCTTTAAACATCTTTGTTCCTGGCTGGCATACAAGGGACCTGATTTTGTCAATGGGCTAACTGTTGTGTTCAATACTTTGTATTGATCAGCCCCTGGTCGAATCTCTGCCCATTTGTTTGTCACATTTGGGACTGATGGTCCCCCAAGTGTAGTTGAGCCATGAAGTGGCCCTTCAATTGTGTCATATGTCAAGTATCCCTGGAAATGGTCAGGCTCACACATGGTTAATACACAGTCTCCATCAGAACCAATATCAGGTAAATTCACATGCACATAACTTTGTTTGCCCGTTATGTGCTGCCATCTGTTTTCCCTGTCTTTCGCAATTACAGTTGGCTCATTGGTAGAAGCTGGTGGTATTTGTGTGGTCATCTTTTTATCATCATATGCTTTAATATTAAGGAAACAGTAGTCCTCATTCAGTCTGTCAAAGTTGAACCAATATCTTCCCACGATCTTGGCGTCCCCTATGAAAAAGTCACTCTCATATTGTGATTGACTTCGCTTCTTTCTTTTTGAGAATCCTTTTCTGAGTGACCCCTCCAGCTCCCATCTCCCTGATGATGGATTCATAGACCAAAGCTTAACATCAGTGGTTGCATTTGGTCCTATACGGTCAGCGCTTATAGCCATTTCCACATCGCCTTCAATGTTAACTTCATTTCCATCAGCATCTTCAAAGCTCATATGAAACATACCAAAGGTTTGTAGGTTTGCTGTCTGTCCATTGCTATCCATGAATGTTAGATCTCCAGGCATTGTGTCTATACTGTCAATGTCTCTCGGATCGAGGAAGTTAACACTTGCCTGAACTTGACCATTATATTGTGTCCCATTTTTGCTATAAAATGCTCCATCGGGGATTATAACTTCTGCCAGGGATGCATTTGAGCTGGTGTTTGCCAGGCTCAATGTATTGATATCAGAAGAAGATATTTCAACGATTGTATTCTTCCTAAGCATAGGGATATCTCTATAGAGAGTTCCTTTAAAATCATTTGGGATGTAAGTTATTTTGTTAGTTTCAATGAAATTTTGCTTTTGAAGGCCCTCTTTGATTGTGATAACAAGCCTTGAAGCATCTTTTGGCACAAGGAATGTAAACTCACCAGTAGAGCTTGTTTTGGTTACAAATTCATCAAAGAGAAAAATCTCACCATGTTTCAGAGGTATACCTTTGTCTAATACATCATGTACATAGCCACTTAGATATACCTCTGGATCAGATATCAGAACATTACCATTCACGTCAACTTGGTTGCATATCTTACAACCACACTCAACAGTCTCTGCAACATCAATTGTATTTGTGCTACAGATTAATGTCTTCAGTTCTTGTTTGATTGGTCCACAGCAATATTCTTCCTTGTTTGTAACAGTTTGCTTTATACATGGGTTACCACGACATTTCTTAACATCATAGTGGTAGGGTGTTTCTCCATTTTGTGGACAGTTCTTCGGAAGTGGTTTGAGATGTGATATCGGAATAGGATCACAAAAACTGTCGCCATCGTCTAAAATAAAATAGAATGTATATTGTACCATGTGTGTAAATAACTCAGGTTTTTTATATTTTATTTATTCACATAAAATAATGATAGTGTGTACACTAAAGTGAGGGATTCTTGCAGGAAAGTCACAATATTTAAATCCTTAACTGTGAATACTGTATTTGTATATGAAAAATTAAAATCACATTTAATCCCTACCTTTGACAAGGAGTGTAGCAGGATTAGAGTAGGCAACACTAAAGTCAGACTGTGCTAGACACATGTAGGAAGCACTGTCATTGGTTGTCAAGGCTTGGATGATAAGTGTGTTTGTGTTTCCAGTTGATGTCATTTCTTTACCATTTTTGTACCTGTGTTGAACAAATATGATTGTTGTTCATAAATAGATGGCGTTCTTTTATTATTTGTTTTGTGGACATTAACATTGCTCGTGTAGACTGTTATTACCTTTTTACTGTTTGCTTTATGAACTTTAAAGTGTACACTATTTACATTTGGATATCTCATTGTCATTCCTTCGAAAACAAAGGAATGAAATAGAAATATAGACATATGCTTATATAAAATTTCATCAGCTCAGAAAAAATAATGCAAAGGGAGAGAAGAATGTAATGACTTATAAAGAACTGGTGAATTTGTGTTCTCTGTATATATGTACCTACCATGTGTATGTATCTGGAGGTGGTTTACCAATAGCTTTACATGTAAAGTTAACATTGTCCCCAACAACGGCAACTTTACTCAAAGGATGGTGTGTTACTTCTATTCCCTCTAAAATACAGAATCAGAAGTTTTAAAATTCATAAATAAGGCTTCAATAATATTTGAATCATAATAAGATTCTTTGAAAAACATGATCTAACATGAAAAAAACAATGTCTAATACCCCCTTTTCCCCACCATTCAAGAACCAATATCACAATTCAAGACCAGAAGACCAAGGGACATTTCATTCATACTGAAGTCATTACAATATATGTTGAAGAAAAAATTAGAAATTGATAGCCGATTGATAACCAATACTCATAACCTCAAAAATAGTTGTAGATACAAGTACTCATACAAGATAGAGCATTCAGTCTCAGATGATGTGGGATAGATAAAATCCATTCACAAAAGCCATCACCATAATCCATCAATCCATTAAGCACCTTAACAAAAAATTGTTTAAATTTTCAAATATTTCTGGCTTATGTCACGTCTAAGAAAACATGAGTGATAAAAATATGATTTCAAAACAAATTGAATATAATGGGCACTAATTCAAAAAGATTTGTAAAGCATGTTTGTCTAGATTATGAATTCAAGTTCATTGTGACCGAAAAAATGTGATAAAAAATGTGTATAAAGGATCATTAAAGAAGTAAAAGGCTTACTCTCATTCAAAAGTTAACAACCGATTAAATAGTGTTTTGTTTGGTTTCCTTTGAAATCAATCTAGCTAGTTTTCTTAATGTCAACGTATTCAACTAAATTGTTAACAATTTGGACAAGGAAGTTAAAATAGCAGAATCTAGACATTTCATTGGATCATCTTGATTTTATTTAACTTAACATATCAGGTAGAGCGATTTAAAGGTGATATTATATATTAACACCTTTGGCGAAGTAACAAGTTTAAGGCCATTTCAAAGTCAAATCAACTGCAAGTTAAAAGCATCCTATCAACCCCAAACTTAAAATATGTTTCACTGTGTGATCACAAACAAAAGGAGAGATTTAAAATATGTAAAGAAAGGGATATCAAATTAAAAAATAGTTTTGCTGCAGTACTTATACATTTTTATTTTATATTACGTGCAAAAGTCAATGTTTTTGCTATAAATCGGGCAACAATGGTCTACACGACCTGTAATAAATAGGTATAAGGGACGTTATTATCACAATACTAATGACATTGCTCACTTTTTAAAGTTAGTGTCCATGTGTTATACAAAAAATAATTGAAATAAATTAATATTGGATGGAGGGGGGATAACGTGTATATAAGACGTTGGTGATGATGCGCCTTTTTAAATAGATCTCATATCTTAGAATGGTATCAGTTCAAAAAAAAAACTTAGATGACCTAACATATTTTGCCATGCACTGCGCCTATTCATTTGGCAATTCAGTTGTAAATTTTCTCTTAAAAAATAAATCTTCCAAAGGATAGGTATCGATATGGAGAACTAAATTCAACAATGTTTTTCTCTTGAACCAATCATTGAAAACATTCTGTAAAAAACATGGTATTTTATGTAATGTTGACTGATTGACAACAATTTAATGCGAAAATTATTTAGAAATATTTTGTTTTTGTTAACATTTTTTGTTTTTTTAGTGCAATTGTTTTTGCTCCTTTCTACCAATTCTGGAGAATGAAATAAAATGTCTTTCTGAACCTTGTTGGAACAAAATAGCATATACCACATGTTTTTAGACCTCTCAATATTAAAGTTGTACAAAGGAATTTTTGGTTGATTTTAAAAAAGTATTCAAAAAATTAAAACAAAATCCCCCAAAATAGATAAAAATCAAGAAAACCCTATTATTTCATTAACAAGATACTTTTTTTAAAATCAACCAAAATTTCTTTTGTACAATTACAATATTGAGAGACTTAAACATGTTGTGTTTATGTCGTTTTGTTCCAATGAGGTTTGGAAAGATGTCTCATTTCACTCTGGAAACATGATACCAAGAACAAAATAAGTGTTTGATGTGTTTTTTAAAACAATATAGATGAAAGTATGTATATCTATTTCAAATTATATTGCTACCATTCAAAAGATGGCCATTAAATTGACAATTTGTAAGGTTTTCAGAAATTTTTGATGACTGGTTTAAGAGAAACGTGTGTTCAAAAAGTTCGCCATATCGATACCCATTCTTTATTGAATTTTCTGGCAGAAATCGCCTAATCTCCCCCCACCATCATTTTTGTATGATCACCAGGCGTGTATACAACAGGTGATGCTCAATTAAGTGACATAAGTCGGCAGAGATCACTTCTACACATTTTTAAACATTTTTGGTGTATATTGGACGAAAATTGTCAAAATTAGAGCAATTTCAGTGAAAAATGTTGGGACAAATTTTCTTGTCACTCTAGGTTTCTAGGTCATTTCCAATGTGACAAGAAATCTCGTCACTCTGGGGAGTCAAGAGGTTAAAATGAATGCCTTAATTAGGCGATTATTCATGATGCCCCTGTGTATCAATTACTTTTAATTACCCAAAGTTTGCATTTTTGTTGACATTTTCCCCATACTACAATAATGTAAGTACTTACCTAATGCTTGCATTATGATCCTAAAGGATGTTCCATCATCAACCCCTATAGAAGTGACATTGGTCATATATTTCTCTTTCTCGCTCACAAGTACAGTATTATCACAAAGTCTAGCCAGTTCCAGTGCCCCTGATGCATTTGTCATCCCAAGGGTCTCATACTCTAGGTCTTTTAAGGCTACCCTAACCCCAGCTAGAGGGACATGTTTTGTATTGTACACATTAATGTGCCTTGTTGCCAGTGGACATTCACATGCTGTGCAGTCCTGTTTTCGTTGTTGGCCTACTGGACAAACCATACTACAGTCTGAAAAGGCATTCTTAGTTATTTATCTGAAATAGCTTTTATGTACAAAACTCAGTCACATGCATTTTAATCATGGAAATTTACTTAAATGGTGTAATCTTATGAATTTCATGAATAACATAAAAATAGATAATTGTTATGAAAATTTACCTGGACATCTGCCATTGTTGCATGCTCTAGTGACCTCCTCTGAACCATCACAGTCAACATCAGTTGGGGAAGATTTTTGACAAACACGTGATCTTTTCTGTATCCCATCTCCACATGTCACACTGCATTGCACCCATGCTGACCAACTGCTCCAGAGACCATAAACAACTAGGAAAATTAGGTGAAAAATTAAGGTTTTTGCATTTTAAAATCACAAAATTTAAGAATATGGGACACATTATACCTGAAGTGATTAACAATTTTAAAGATAACATTTTCAATATTTTTCAATTTCTCTTGACACATAAAATATATTTTGATTAAATGGATTTCAAACTAAAACTTTTTTCATAATTTACCTATTCTTGCTTCTAGTCCATTTATTATGGAAGTAGCAGTTGTTGACATAGGGGTTGTTGTGGTTGTCGTAGGAATTGTTGTTGTGTCAGTGGTTACAGTATCAGCAACTGTTGTTGTGTTAGTGATTACAGTATCAGCAACTGTTGTTGTGTCAGTGATTACAGTATCAGCAACTGTTGTTGTGTCAGTGGTTAGAGTATTAGCAACTGTAGTTGTGTCAGTGATTACAGTATCAGCAACTGTTGTTGTGTCAGTGGTTACAGTATCAGGAACTTTTGTTGTGTCAGTGATTACAGTATCAGCAACTGTTGTTGTATCAGTGATTACAGTATCAGCAACTGTTGTTGTGTCAGTGGTTACAGTATCAGGAACTTTTGTTGTGTCAGTGATTACAGTATCAGCAACTGTTGTTGTATCAGTGATTACAGTATCAGCAACTGTTGTTGTGTCAGTGGTTAGAGTATTAACAACTGTAGTTGTGTCAGTGGTTACAGTATCAGCAACTGTTGTTGTGTCAGTGGTTACAGTATCAGCAACTGTTGTTCTGTCAGTCATTACAGTATCAGCAACTTTTGTTGTGTCAGTGGTTACAGTATCAGCAACTTTTGTTGCACTGGTGATTGTTGGTTCAGCAACTGTCAATGTACCCGTGGTTGTTGCATCTGCAAATGTTGTACCAGTGATTGTTGTATCAGTAACTGTTGTTGTGTCAGTGGTTACAGTATCAGTAGTTGTTGTTTCAGTGACTGTTCTTTCAGCAACTGTTGGTGAACCAGTGGTTGCAGTATCAACAACTTTTGTTGTACCCCTGTCAGTTGCATCTGCAATCGTTGTAGCAGTTGTAGCTTTTGCAGGAGTTGTGGTTGTCACAGGTATTATTGTGGTATTAATTTGAGTTTTCATTGGAGCTGTTGTGGTTGGTTTATTTGAGGTGTCATTTAAATGCAAAGCTCCACTCCGATTTCCTGTAATAATTTTAATCGCATGTTAAACAGTATATTTTTATGGGTGCCTAACAGCATAGAAAAGAGAAAAATAATATCAATTAAAAGACCACGTGCAGTATGGCAAGTGTTTTTAGACAGTCATATCTTTTACCATGAGTACTTTCTGGCCATAAATACAGTGGCTTTTATTAAAACAATATGTTTTCTTTCAAGTGGAGTCCCCATTGTAAAATATCAATCCAACTATCTGAAAATTATGGATTAGGGCCCCACCTTGGCACTTTTTGAAAAATGTTAGACTTATTTTCTAAAAAGAGGATCTTGTTTTTCTCAATTTAAACATATTGAAAGTCTCATCTACACTGTATTAACAATTTCTGAAAAGGGGATGCGTATTGAAATGAGTTAAAGTTAAAAACCACATATCCCATGCTATTTTCCCATAGGGAAAACTCGTGCTATCCATTGTTTTCAGCATCATTTTGGTCATCAAAAATTGATATCTTCAAAACTAGACATGCAATACCATTCTATTTTGGAATATGTCATAGACCCCTTGTTGAGTAATCTTTGCATGAAATAAAAATCAGGAAAAGAATATCCTCTTTTGAGTAAATAGGTTCGATATTTTGAAAAAAATGTTAACATGGGGTCCCTATTCATAGTTTTTCGAATTGTTTGATTTATATTTTTAGCATCATGGGTACTTGACTTGAAAGAAAACATATTGTTTTAATATAAAACACTGTATTTATGCCCAGAAAGTACTCATGGTAAAAGATATGACCGTCTATACTGCACATGGTCTTTTGAGAAACCTGCTGTACTGCACTGAGTGGCAACACTGGGCGAAGTGACCAAATATAAACAATTTTAATCACAAATAATCAGTGAATAAATGATTATTATCTGGTTAAAACCTATTATCGAGACTATTATTGCTGGTTATCGCTGATTATCGAGACTTATTAATCAAAAATAACCAGTGTTTTCACTGGTTATTACGATAATCAATTCTTATTAATGTGTAGCCAATGGCAAAAATTCCAACTGATTATTATGTCAAGTGATTATTCCCCCAACTGATTATCGCTTTGTTTTCATTAGCAATTAAGAACCGTCTGCCTTTTATGCGTCTAGCGCTTCCAATTATTATCCGTTGAATAAACAAACTATAGCTTTTGTCCAGCTAAAGAATATTAGTTTTTGCGAAATTGAATTTTTCATTCAAATATCTTTTTTTTTAATTCATTATCAACCAAACAAAAAATAAAAGAAACACATTTTTAGAATTTCATTTAATGTTAGATTTTATTTAGCTGTCCAACTTCAATTACCAGGATTCGAGATTTTTCATTAGCAATTATAATGCAGCAGATTTCTGCAATCCAATCAATAGTTTATACTTATTAGTAGTAATTAAAGAATATCACCAAGAAAATATTTTATCATCGTGTAGAAAGTCCAATCCAAATTCTGGTAAATGTGTTGCATTTATAGAAGCAATAACGTCGTGATACCACTGTAAAACTATAATTAAAATGTTTGATATGAAATTCGATTGTCGGGAATAAGAAATACACATCAATACTTTTACATAATATCCAGTGTATTGAAATAAGATGTTATAACAAAGGCAATTGAAAAACTTCAATCTCAATGAAACTAGTAGTGAAACTCCCTAAATCTGTTAAAGGGAAGCCATCATTCAAGCACTGAAAATTAAGTTTAAGAGGAAGAATTCAGTATCCCGTGTGTTCACTACCCCCTCCCATACCCAATCATTTAACTACATGTATGCTCCAATGTGTTTCATTTCTGTGTTTAATAAATGCAATCAATATGATAGTTCTATATTACTCATTATTACCGTAGAGCAAATGTGCGCAAGGTTAAATTTTAATCTTATTGAATTATGTTAATTAGTTGCTTGGATGGTAGATTGTTTGTTTGCTTGTTTATTAGCACGATTGATTGCTTGATTGGCCGTTTACTTGTTAACATTCTTTCTTTGTTGCTTTGCTGCTTCCTTGGTTTCTTGCATTAGAGTTTAATTAGCTACTTGCTTGGTTGGTTTGTCGGTTGTTTGCTTGCTTTATTTGTAAGTTGCATCGTTTGCTTTTTTACTTGCTTAGTTTCCTGCTTGCTTGGATGGTCGTTTGCTTGGTTGCTTGGTTGGTTACTTGCGTGGTTGGTTGCCGAGTTATTGATTTGAAACTTTCTAAATATCCATAGGCGTAGCCAAGGAGGAGGGGGGGGGGTTGCGAAAACCAATAAAAATTAAAACTCCTGAGAAAGAGGACTCAAAGAGCTTTTAAATGCTTTTTATTTGAAGCTTCTAGCTCACTTTGGAAGGAACTTGCATCCAGTTTTTGTAAAATTCAATATAAAAATCATTTTTGGCTTGTTTATGTCATAATCGCACCCCCTTGTTTATGTCACAATCACCCCCCCCCCCCCCCCGACTGAAAACCGAAATATTTTTGGCAATCACACTCCCCCCTGACTGAAAGTAGGCTACGCCCCTGATATCTGTTATTGTGTTATAACAATAAACTATATTTATATTGTGATCATTTATGGGTTTTGATAACACTAGGCTTTATACGTGTATAATTAATCAAATTTAATATTGTATCATGTTGGCTAAATCGTTTCAAGTGAAGAATTAAGAACTGTAATCGGGTTTTGCTTAGTTTGAGCAAGGGAACAAAATGTAATCAGACGGACGTATTAATTAATATTTGTTTTGATAAATGAGTATTATAGCTTATAGGCAGTATCATGGGAACCAAGTAATCGTGTATAGGATTATTTTTTGTTTACTTCAGAATTGAGTGAACCATCTGTAGTTTTAAAAACAAGATCAATAAATACATCTAATCAAGATCAAATATTAGAAATCTGTTTTTGACTGGACAAATTCTTGTTCTAGAATGTCAAACAGAACCTTCATTATCTTTATTCATTTTGAACTTTGATTTGAATTATTTCAATCAAACGTGTGTTGATGCTCCGAGCTAATACTATTAATTGGAAAAATGTTGCAATAGGGGGGGGCATTATTGTCTTTATTACATTACTTTTGTACATTATTACATACACAGTAAACGCGACCTGATCGGGGAGGGGATTCGGGTTGTGCACAGTGCACAATTTGTTATCTCTTTATGCATGTTTTATTGCCAAATTAATATAAAAACAAGCTGGAGAAACATAAGTATTTATTTTGTATTTTGTTACCACACGTCAAAAGGTGCATTTGAAGTTCAGAAAATGTAAGAAGACTTGGCTAGAAATTATGTACTTATATATTTATATGTTACGTATTTATTTTGTATTCAATTCGAATTCTGTTCACTCGCACTCCTTGAACCACCCCACCCCTTGGCTACGGGTATAAGTACTTTCGGCACACGGAGAGAATAACATTAGACTTCTGCAATGCAACTACATGTAATAAGAAAGACCTAAAATGAAAATATTGTAAGAATATACAATTGTAGTCCATCACAAAGTTCATTTATTTCATTAAAGCGTCAAGGGACAATGCCTCTAAACACTAAGATAAACAAATTAACTTCCAGAAACATCCTGTTGTGGAAAAGACAAATGGCTTTTCATAACGGATTAAAATAGCCAGTCTGTCTAATTGTATAATATATTAGATACATTTTAAATTCCTTTATACTTCTTATCACAGACAGGTTGATCATTTTATTTAGACAAGAGATTGTATTCCAGCAGTGTCATTTGTAATTAGCCCTTTGAAGTTTAATCAATCACGATAATCAGTTGGTCGGTTATTCAGTAAAGAAAAAAGTGATTATCGCCAGGCCATGCCTGTTGCCATTGTATCTAGCCTTTAAAAGTTATAATTAGGTCAGGATCAGACTGTGTCTGGTTATTAATGATTATTCTAAAAAATTAATCGCTGATTATTATGTGTTAATTCCAACCTGTTTGTCTAGTGCAATCACTTGTCAGTATAAGACCATGGTCCATTGGCATCGTCTTATGAAATATATTGAGATTCTATTTTTCTTGTTTCAGACTTCACTGATCAAAATTCATTATAGTAAATCATAGTATAGTGTCTCAACTGCTAATTGCATTGAGTTCTACACTGACTTGAACATGTTCCATCCATACAACAGAATCATCAGATTCCAATCATCTTAATCATTTTGAAAAAAAATCTGAGATGTAATATTTTGAATTAATTTTATCAAATAATGGTTTTGATCCATGTTAACTCAAATGTGGAAATACTTATTTTGATTGTGAAATTATACTGTATTTACCTGTAAAAATGCCTGCAAAATACATTCCTACTAGTGCACCTCCTATGGCAATAAAAAGAGCCACTGCTACCCCTGCTACAATCTTAGCATAGCTTGTAGACTCTGTCGATTTAGGCCTAGGGTTTCTCTCAATATAGGCACTGTCAATGTACTTCTTATGTCTTGGGATGAAGGATTGAGGTCTAGGAGGAAATGGATTCTTAGGTCTGCAATATAAGAACTAAATATCATGAATGCATTTGGAAAGGTTTTACCACTTCATCTGATATATTATGTTTTACATTGTCCATATTTCCAAAATACAGGCACAGCCAATTAAAAGTGACATGAGACGAGTCAAGGTACAAATGGGAGGAAATTAAAGTTTTACAGTTGAGATACTATAGAATTAGAAAATTGAACTGGGTTTGTCTTGTTTGTTCTGATCAAAAAGCAGCTAGTGCAAAAATGTTTATCTTTTTCAAGAAAGTCAGACAGATTGATTCTTAAAATTCAGCCAATTCTATGACATTCTGTTTTGCCACAAATATATCACAATAAGCTTTTCATCTATGTCTAGAATACTTTTCATGATTCAGAATTACTGTACTCCCACCAATATTAATTGACGTTTTTACCTATAATCGCCCATCACTGGACGGAAATATTGTCAACATTGAAATCCCTGGGAATTTCCTTGGAATTTTGCGACTATCAAATTTCGTGAATTAAAACTGGAGGAATTTCACGGCTATTGCATTTCGGGAATTTTTCAAAACTCGCAAAAAGTCAGCTCACGAAAATTACCGGGAGTACAGTATTTGTTTGGCAGTGGCAGCATAACATCTTACCTCAAAGGTGGAAATGAACCAGCACTATTGAAGGTTGTGTAAATGTTGCCGATACTTTCTGAGGCTACCCCAGAATCACTCCAAACGCTGTGAGAAGTCATTCTAGAATCAGAAATTATGTTGAGTAACTTTTGTATCCTCGTATTTAAATTGTGTATTTTAGAAATTGTTACAAATATTACACATTTTAAATGCGTATGTGTGTGAGATTTTGAAATGACTGTCTAGTACGTTTATTTAGTTTTACAAAACATTAATTCATTATTATATAATTTAAATGTTAATCCTAGATCACATATAATGTGTAACAGATAATGGATTTCAGATTTGTATTCTGTGAACCTTGAATTATAACGAAGATGTACCAAGATGTGTTACTTTTATAGTGAAATATCATTTTTTGTTAAATGAAATATGATAAAAGAAAGATTAATTTCAAATGATATCTGCTTCCACATTTGTAATTAAATTAGAATTAAATAGTAACATTTAGCAAACCTTATTTTGTTCATTGGAAATTACTAGACTAGGTGAAGTTTTTTTCTACCAATTTATAGTTCATATGTCAAAGGTTGATACTATTGAATACAGTTATGACTTGACAGCTAAAGGGATGCATTGAATCATTGAAAAAATTGTGAAATAACGATGCATAATACATCATTTGTATGTATGCATCATTTGTATGTATGAATATTGTTAAAATTTATGTATACTAATATATTGTTTATTTACAGGACTTCCATTATAGTGAAATTATCTACATCTTGCGATTAATGCCTGTATTGATTTTTGGCTTATTTGCCAACTTTGCATTTCTAGGGATTGTTAATTACATATTATTTTTAAAAATATCGAATACTTACCTAATTTTGGTAATGGATCCAGGATGTCATACTCTACATGTTTATCTTTTAAAATGTATAAAGTAAAATACTCGTGCATAACTTCGTAAAATGAATAAGATAGCTAAGCAGGAAGTTAAATTAATGTGGATTGAAAAGTTGCTGGAATTCCCAGGGATAACTGTATACACCTTGTATCTGATGAATGACTTTTTTATTGATTGTTGTAAGTTCAAAGTTCATTTAAAGCAGGACAGAATAACAAAATATAGTAAAATATTTATACTTCCCGCCCGCTCTATCGGGGAATTAATAAACTGACAAGTATAATTTGGTGTGTCAAGAGCCATCCTGTGGCCATCTATTTTGATTTATTATTTTTACATAAAAACATTACATAATCAATTTCCTAACATTAAATAATATTACACAAATTAACAATAGTATAAATTCGTTTACATTGTCTTACATAATTGTATAAAGTATTACATAACCTTACATAATGTTTGAAATGGACGCTAAAAAGCCGTAACCTAATGTAAAATAAAAACATATAAAAAAGGTTAGTTAGGACTGTACAAGCTTACTAACACATGGTGACAGCTATGTGAAAGTCTCTTTCTCAAATAGGTTTGCGAAAAACGTGACATAGTTAATTACAGTCTGTAAACTAAAACAACGTGAATTTCAACAATAATACATTTGTGTTATTGGAGTCGAAAATTTTCGTCGTAGTAGTTCCAGTCCAAATGATTTTCCGCTAATTTCCTTTTATTCTGGCCATAGTGCATTAACGGAATTGCATCCGTGCCATATTTTGTGCAATGTATGGTGGTGAAAATATGGAAAGCGGAAATCCATTCTTCAATGGAAACTAATTTAAAATTACCTTGGGCCTTGTTGGATAAATAGTGTTCTTTCTTATGTTATATAATATTTTCTTAATATAACAATGCTGAATAGCTTGTAAAGTTGAAACAATAATTTTTTAACAAATCAATGCTTATTTATGTTGTCTGTTTCGAAACATGAAACTGAATGAAGGATGCTGTCTAGCTAGGAAGTAGTAGATAGACCCAAGATGTAACTCGAGACACACGTGTATAACTGAAAGTGAAAGCCAGTACATGATTGGATATCCGGCCAGTCGGTATAAATCCATTTAAGGTCCACTTGCAGATTCCTTAAATTACTTTTAAGCAGGGGTTTCACTAGAATTTCTCACAACAGGCTAAATAAATGAAAACAATAGGCAAAATTAATGGAAATCATATATTCAACAATGAAAAGTCCCTAAAACGACAGGCTATTAGGGAATTTAGTTTGCACAGCACTTCCTCATTGGAACTAATGGAAAAGATCAACAAAAACTTAACTTTTTTTTAACTCACAGCGATACTTAAGTTACGATATGTACTTTTTAATTTGAAAAATAGGGGTTGGTATTTATCACTTTCAACTTTGTTTAGGGAACATTCTTTTTGGTGCTTGTGCCTAAACATCACACATCAAGCTAAAGTTTTATGAGTCCAATTAGATGAGATATGAGCAGGGATGAAAGATCTCAAAAATCCTCAAATTTGGGCTCTCCTAGATCGCCAAATCAAGCTCATTATATCATGGCATATCAGGGCTGAGAAGATTTGAGATGTCATGGTTTATCATGATGTCATTTACACCAAATACAAAGAATAAACATTGTTTTATAATTCTCTTTTGAAATACAGTAGTGATATTGCTGTTGAAAGGCTGTATTTATTCCACTCAGATGGCACTTCATGAAGTTAACTTTCTCTGCATAAAACTGTATTTCACATGAATCATTGAATAAATAACTAAAGTTTTAAAAAAAATATTAAAAAACTTTTATTCAAAAATTCTATCATGCATAGATAAATTACATACTAAAAGATAAAGTTAGATACTTCTGTTCCTAGAAAAATAAAACCATTTAATAAAAATTATGATAGTTTGTTTTGTTGTACAGTATATACATAAGTCAATCAAACTTTTACATTGGTTTAAAGGTCTCAAGAAGCATGATGTTTGCAATAATTTGAATATCAACAATTATATCCACTGAAAACATCAATTGTTAATATCCATATTGTAAAGAAAACCAAACCAAGGAAATCATATACATATTTACAAGTAATGAGGCACACAAATTACAGGGTGGTCCAAAAAAAAGTGAACCCCTGCAACAGGCTACATTTTTCTAAATACATGCATGAATTGGCTCATATTATCACATGTTGTAGAGAAAGGTCTAACATTTTGGTTGATGCCATAATTTATTCCCAGTCTTAAATTTTGAAGAAATTACAAGCATTTAACAAACACGCCTGGAAATTAGATATTGTACAAAATTTTACAAATGTGATTCACGGAAATTGTTGAAACACATTGGATGATCTTAAACAGCTTTCAGTTAGAGATACAAGTTTAAAACCCTACCATATGACAAAAGGGACACTATTCAAGCAGAAAACACATTTCACACTTTCATTGATCATTTTGAAGCATTTTTAACTGTTCAACAGTTCAGGGGTATGTTACCTACACAAACAGTTAGAGGGGGGCCTCTTATGGAAGGAAGTTGCCCCCTGTGACCAGGAATCTGATAACCCCTTCATCAAATATCTTTAAAAATTCAAAAGAATATTCAATATTCAATGTTTTGAGCCATATATCATTAGAATTGGTCCATGATTTATGAAGATATTGACATTTCAAGATCATATAGGGGTATGTTCATGATTTCACTGGAAAATGTTTTCGTCTGTGGAAGCTCAGCACATCTCTTTGGATCACAATAACTTTGCAACTAACAAATGAAGAATGCTAGTTTTAAGCCATAATGTGCAGGATTTAAAATTGAACAAAGTCAGAAAATATTAGTTCTTTAAGACTGCAGCTTAAAAAATTCTAAGGGAAAGGTGTTAAAGGGTTGAAGAATCGCGGATATTGAAAATCACAATTTGTCCATTTTCAGTAATGTTTGGTTAGGGCTTATAATTTCTGCAAATTTCAAGACTAAGAAAAATGTATGGTACCAACATAAATTTTAGACCTTCCTCTACAACATGTGAAAATAAAAAAGAATTCTTGCAAGTAATAAGGGAAATATGGCCAGTTGCAGGGGTTCACTTTTTTTGGACCACCCTGTAAAAATACATGCTAATTGTTTGCTCATAATTGTCTATGACTTTTTTAAATTATAATAATTGAAATGTTGTTCTTATAACCGTGTACACTTAAACAGTAAATCAAATCCAGCTCTTGGGTCTCTTTTATTACACCGTACAGTGCTATGTTGTACCACTGCATTGACACGCTGCCCTGGCTGTCTGTCTCGCTGTTTCCATGTCTCCATCCTCGTTAAAATATAAACCTGTACTTGGCCCAGCATGAATGATTCTAGTTGGTAGTTTGAATGTTGCTTCATTCTGGATTTGTTGATAGGGTTTCAGTCCATTTGAATTAAAGAAGGGACACAATTAGGCCCAACTGCCAAGATTTTAATGACAGTCTTATCTTCAGTTGTTTGCCCACTTGATTTTATTATATCCCCACTTCCCTTGTACTCTAGGCAAGCAGTCCAGGGCTCTCGCCAGGCTTTTAGACTGTGGTGCAGCACCACACTCTATTGAGCTCCCTCCACACCCTATTGGCAAATCATGACTGTTTCCACAGTCTAAACTTGACTGAATATACAATAATAGCATGTAAAAATGATAAAACATAACATAAATATGATTTATCACGACTGAATGATTATTCTGAAGATGTTAGCACCACACCCTAAATATTTCCTGGTGAGAGCCCTGCAGTCCTATCTTTGATCAAATCCTCCCTTCTGCCAAATAGCTTGTCTTATGTTTCAGTGTGTGTATGTATCCCCATAGCTTGATTCATCTAGGAACAGTATTCAATCATTTGAAGACAAAGAAGCAATACACCATGAAACATTAATATACGCACTTATGTTTGATATATTTCTTTGACTAACCTTTTAATTTTATATATATGTTTACCAACTGGAAAAGTGAATACCCATGCACTCTTTTAAATGTTCCTTTTATGCTCTCCTGCACTTAATAAGAATACCATATCCTGTTGGCTTTCGAGTATCACACTGTACACTGTTATGCTGTGCTTCACTGCATTCACATGCTGCCTTGGCTGTTTGTCTCGCTGTGTCCCTGTTTGAATTGTCATCAAAGTATAATCCCGAATTTTCCCCAGCATGTATGATTCCAGCTGGTAGTTTGAATGCTGCCTCACCCTGGGTATATTGTTGTAGCCCAGCTGTGACCCTATAAACACAGTCTGTCCCTTCAGCCATTACTTTAATGACAGTCTCATCTGTAGCCGATTGTAATGTTGATGTTATAATGTCCCCACTTCCCTTGTATTCCAGGCATACAGTCTTATCTCTTGTCACATCCTCTCTGCTACCAAACAGCTTATTCAGTGTTTCAGCATGCTTACCTCCATAGCTTGATACAACTACTCTTGATTCATCTGGATATAGTGTTCCACCATTTGCACCATTACTCCAAACTTCAACTCTGACCTTGATAAACCAGGCCCAGAAAACAGCCGGAGCACCAGGAAACCAAATTAATGGAAAAAGTGAATTTTCACCAGGGCAAGAACTATCAGAAGTATCAAAATTATCATCATCAACTAAACAGGTACACGCTGTATATTTAACTAATGTGTTAGCTGGTCTGTAGAATCCGTAATGTGAGTTCCCTTGTCCACTATTCATACAGTTGGCATAGGCCAGTGTATATGAATGTTGACAGGCAGTTTGGTGACATAGAATACATTTTGGTTCCTTTTCAACTAGATTAGAGCAATATGCGCAGTAATCACTCTCTTGGTCATAGCATGTTGATTGCAAACTGTCATATAAAGGTCCTGATGTTGTCAATGGGCTTACTGTGGTGTTTAATATGGTAGGTTGTGGGACTCCTGGTTGACTCTCTGCTATTGTAGTCAACACTGAAGGAACTACTTGTCCCCCTTGTGTAGTTGAGCCATGGAGTGGTCCGTCAATAGTGTCAAACATTAGGTAACCATGGAAGTGGTTAGCCTCACACATTGTTAATACACAGTCACCATTAGAACCAACTTCTCTGAAAGCAACATGCACAAAGCTTTGTTTGCCAGTTATGTGCTGCCATGTCTCTGCCCTGTTCCGTGCAATTACAGTTGGTTCATTTGTAGGAGCTTCAGGAATTTGTGTGGTCATATCATCACTATCATATGCCTTAATATTAACAAAACAGAAGTCTTCATTGACGCTGTCAAAATTGTACCAATATCTTCCTACTATCGTCATGTTCCCAATGAAGAAATCACTCTCAAACCGAGATTGGCTTCGCTTCCTTCTTCTAGAGAATCCCTTTCTTAATGAGCCTTCAATCTCCCATCTTCCTGAAGAAGGATTCAAAGACCAAAGCTTGACATTTGTAGTTTCATTTGCTCCTATTCTTTCTGCACTTATGGCCATTTCAACATCACCTTCGATGTTAAGCTCATTTCCAGCAAGATCTTCAAAGCTCATATGAAACATGCCAAATGTCTGCAGGTTTCCTGTCTGTCCATTGTTGTCCATGAATGACAGATCTCCAGGCATTGTATCTATGCTTTCAATGTCTGTTGGATCAAGGAAGTTAACACTTGCCTGAACTTGTCCATTATATTTTGTTCCATCCTTGGTATAAAATGCTTCATCAGGAATGATCACCTCGGCAAAGGATATGTTTGAACTGGTGTTTGCAAGGCTTAATGTATTGATATCAGAAGAAGATATTTCAACGATTGTATTTTTCCTAAGCATTAGAATATCTCTATAGAGAGTTCCTGTAAAAGCATTTGGGATGTAAATTGTTTTGGTAGTTTCAATGAAGTTTAACTTCTGATAGCCCTCCTTTACAGTTAAAACGAGCCGGGATACTTTTGGCACAAGGAACTTATATTCACCTGTAAAACTTGTATGGGTTTCTAATTTGTCAAAAAGGTAAATTTCACCAAATCTAAGGGGTACACCTTTGTCTAATACATCATATATATTGCCACTCAAATATACTTTTGGATCAGATGTCAGAACGTTTCCATCTACTTCAACTTGGTTACATATCTTACAACCACACTCTATAGTTTCTGCAATGTCAATGGTGTAAGAACTACATGTTAATGTCCTCAGTTCCTGTCTGATTGGTCCACAGCAATACTCTTCCTTGTCTGTTATTGGTCGTTTAATACATGGATTTCCAAGGCATTTCTTAACATCATAATGGTAGGGCGTTTCACCGTCTTGTGGACAGTCCTTTGGAAAGGATTTAAGATGTGATATTGGTGTTGAATTACAAAAACTCTCTCCATCATCTATAAAAAATTGAAGTGTAAAATGTAATGCATTGTTCAAAGGGCAAACCAGAATTGATGTGGGAAATAGTCATGACTTAATGTTTGCCATGTGAATCTCCCCATTTTTGATTACATAAGACATCTTAAATTTTCAATATTTGATTATTATCTCATTTTCTTGACCAGAACATAAATTAAGATTGTAAGGCTAAATTAGTGTGATGCTTTATACTAAAGTATGTGATGGAGAAGCCACCGTAGTTCTTTTCTCTTGATGAATTTCCTGAACTAAGGAAAATTAGAATGAATTGTTGGTCTATACCTCTGACAAGGAGTATAGCAGGATTAGAGTAGGCAACACTAAAGTCAGACTGTGCTAGACACATGTAGGAAGCACTGTCATTGGTTGTAACAGCTTGTATGATCAGTGTGTTTGTGTTACTTCCAGTTGATGTCATTTCTTTGCCATTCTTATACCTATATTGAACAAATATTTTTACAATGTCACTGTCATATATTTCACTCTCTGATTGTTTTATGCCCTTCTCTTGATTAGAAGACAACAAGTGATATTCAATGGAATTTACATGATTTCTGTTAAATATTGTACAACTATTTCATACTATTGACTCAGAGGTGAATTGAATTGAATTATTGAATTGAAGCCCATAGGGCCAGGTGAATACACCTTGTCAAATCATTGAGAGTGCAAGAGATATTCACTGAAAATAGTGTGAAATATTTGTTTTGTTTTGATGAAATTGTGAAAAGTATGATAATGTTAATGATAGTGATTAGTGATAATTGAATGATATAAATATATTGGGCCAATGGTCTCTTCTATAAAACAGGCGCATAACAATAAAAATATGAAAATATAATTAACGGAAGGGAGGAATATAACAGTGAATTATAAATCAAGCATTTAATTTTATTTTTTGGTAAACACATGAGCCACTTTCACAAGATGATATTCCATTAGCCCATGTGGCTTCATGGAATATTACTTGTGAAATATATAGAGGATGTTCTTTTTATTTCATAGTTAAAGTCATCATCAGAATCGTCGGAAATTGATTTAACTCAAATTTTCCAAACGATCTGGCGATATTGACACTTAGCCTCATTTTGAGTCTGAAGTAGCAAAAATCCATAATTCATAGCATACGGCGCCTTTTGTCATGGCTTAAACACGGTATGCTATGGTTAAGTGAAAATTTGTCAAAAATATCATATTTTACCACTGATTACAAAAATACCGTTTTTTTTTTGACTTGTTATCCTATGAATATCATGCTAACTATGGAATAAGTACAGATATTCAGTGATTAAATATTTGTATATTGTCCAGTATGGCAATTACATGATACAATACATAGAATAATAGCTGATTTTTTGGAAACATGGCATAAAATATATGAATGTATGCACCTACCATGTGTATGTATCTGGAGGTGGTTTTCCAATTGCTTTACATGTAAAGTTAACATTGTCTCCTACAAGGGCAACTTTACTCAAAGGATGACGTGTGACTTCTATTCCCTCTGAAATAAAAAAATTGAAGCATAAGGATGTAGAATTTCAAGCCTACATTAAGTGCAAAAGAGATAAAGAGAACATTGATCAAATCAAATGTTTGGGTGAAAAACCTGTTGATTGACATGTTTTCTGGATGATAAAATATTTTAAACTTTGTATTGGGGTTTTTTACATTAACAAGACCAGCAATTTTTATTCTGAGTCATGATGTCATACTTTTTCTGAAACATGATATTTTCTTTTTTACAAGTGCTTCCTTATTGAGTTTTGTTTCTCGATAATGTTTTTAATGGCAAAAACTAAGTATTAAACAATTTTTATTGTAACTTAATGTTTTATCCGCGACAATGTTAAGATAAGTTCTAAACTTGACATTGATAATTTTACTTCCTGGTTCATTTCAAGTCATTTCATTCAGCGACCAGAAACAAGAAATGCTCTTATGTGCCTCAAATTTGAGATATTTGGCAATTGGGATTGTAACAAAATTTTGCACTTTTGTGTAAACATTCTGTTAATTCCTTAAAATGAGTTTGTTTTGTCCTATAATAGTATAGAATAACTTACCTAATGCTTGCAATATGATCTCAAAGGGTGTTCCACCATCAGCACCAATAGAAGTGACATTAGTCATATATTTCTCTTTCTCACTCACAAGTACAGTATTATCACAAAATCCTGGCAGTTCGAGAGCCCCTGATGCATTTGTTAACCCAATAGTCTCATACTCTAGATCTTGCAAAGATACCCTAACACCAGCTAGAGGGACACGTTTTGTATTGTACACAGTGATATGTCTTGTTGTCATGGGACATTCACATGCTGTGCAATTCTGATTCCGCTGTTGGCCTGCTGGACAATCGAGGCTGCAATCTAGACAAAATAAATAATAATTAAAGGACCCATGTAAAGTTTGGAAGTTTTGTTTAATGAAAAAAAACTTATTATTGAACCATTAATTTCAAAAAGCTTTTTTTAAGTCATACAATCAATCCCATGTTTGAAAAAAAAATTTTTTAAAGAGTTAAAATTTCTGTTCCATTTGTATATTGAAAACTAAAATTTATTCGATATTCGTAGAATGCCGGTCCTCATAGCGGCACACAGATAAACTGCACAATTGACTCCTACAGACGAATTACAAATTTGATGCATACTAATGTAAAACATTGTCAATTGTTGCTGTTACATTAAGGAAGAGCCAAATTGTCCCACTTTTTCCAAGAACATCTATTCAAACAATGTTATGTTACATTATGTTAAGTATGTTTTAATAAATATTTTATTGATATTAAAAAGAGTTGTGTATAATTACCAGGACATCTGCCATTGTTGCATGATCTAGTGACCTCCTCTGAACCATCACAGTCAACATCAGTTGGGGAAGATTTTTGACAAACACGTGATCTTTTCTGTACCCCATCTCCACATGTCACACTGCATTGCACCCATGCAGACCAAGTGCTCCAAAGACCATAAACAACTGCAAAAGTTTTATGTCTCAGGATCTTTCATATGTTGAATGTATTATTTAATGATTTAAGCCCTGGAGTGCAATATGGGTTGAATCATTCCTTAAAAAGATATTATTTTAAATGTTGCTCAAGATCTGCTGCATCGAGTGTGAAGTTTAGGAAACAAAGTCAGAGTGGAATGAATGAGCCACAATGCATCAAGTCTTGGGCTTAAATTCTTTTCACATATTGCAAAATATTTTCTATGAAATCACCTGAAAGATACAAAATTACTTAAAGAACATATTTATAACGAAACTTTTTGCAAGGGTCAAGTGAGCAAAGCATCATTATCAATATGTAGAGTCAAGTTGTCACCTCGACAACCATTTAACGAATGACTTTGGGTGAGTTATTGGTTATATAATGTTGTATATTTAAATGAAATACTGTGTTCAGATTGGCTTGAATTGGACCCTGACCAGCTATAATTCAAAATATAATGATAATACATTATAATAATAATTATAATCCTTTATTCACCTATTTTCGCTTCTCTGCCATCAATTATTTCAGTGGATGTTGAAGGCATTGGAGTTGTTGTGGTTGTTACAGGAGTTGTAGGAGTTGTCACAGGAGTTGTTGGGGTCGTCACAGATGTGGTTGTCGTAGCAATCGTTGTTGTGTCAGTGGTTACAGTATCAGTAACTGTTGTTGTTGTAACTGTTGTTTCTAGCCCAGTTGTTGTTACTGGTCCAGTTGTTTTGCCTGGTCCAGTTGTTGTTTCTGGTCCAGTTGTTGTTACTGGTCCTGTTGTTGTACCTGGTCCAGTTGTTGTTACTGGTCCAGTTGTTGTTACTGGTCCTGTTGTTGTACCTGGTCCAGTTGTTGTTACTGGTCCAGTTGTTTTGCCTGGTCCAGTTGTTGTTTCTGGTCCAGTTGTTGTTTCTGGTCCAGTTGTTGTTACTGGTCCTGTTGTTGTGACTGGTTTTGTCGTTGTACCCGGAGCAGTTGTTGTACCTGGTGCAGTTGTCATTTCTGGCATAGTTGTAGTACCTGGTCCAGTTGCTGTTACTGGTCCAGTTGTTGTTACTGGTCCAGTTGTTGTTACTGGTCCTGTTGTTGTACCTGGTCCAGTTGTTGTTTCTGGTCCAGTTGTTGTTACTGGTCCTGTTGTTGTGACTGGTTTTGTCGTTGTACCCGGAGCAGTTGTTGTACCTGGTGCAGTTGTCATTTCTGGCATAGTTGTAGTACCTGGTCCAGTTGCTGTTACTGGTCCAGTTGTTGTTACTGGTCCAGTTGTTGTTACTGGTCCTGTTGTTGTACCTGGTCCAGTTGTTGTGACTTTTTTTGTCGTTGTACCTGGAGCAGTTGTTGTACCTGGTGCAGTTGTCATTTCTGGCATAGTTGTAGTACCTGGTCCAGTTGTTGTTACTGGTCCTGTTGTTGTACCTGGTCCAGTTGTTGTTCCTGGTCCAGTTGTTGTTACTGGTCCAGTTGTTGTTACTGGTACTGTTGTTGTACCTGGTCCAGTTGTTGTACCTGGTCCAGTTGTTGTTACTGGTCCAGATGTTGTTACTGGTCCGGTTGTTGTTTCTAGCCCAGTTGTTGTTACTGGTCCAGTTGTTTTGCCTGGTCCAGTTGTTGTTTCTGGTCCAGTTGTTGTTACTGGTCCTGTTGTTGTACCTGGTCCAGTTGTTGTTACTGGTCCAGTTGTTGTTACTGGTCCTGTTGTTGTACCTGGTCCAGTTGTTGTTACTGGTCCAGTTGTTTTGCCTGGTCCAGTTGTTGTTTCTGGTCCAGTTGTTGTTTCTGGTCCAGTTGTTGTTACTGGTCCTGTTGTTGTGACTGGTTTTGTCGTTGTACCCGGAGCAGTTGTTGTACCTGGTGCAGTTGTCATTTCTGGCTTAGTTGTAGTACCTGGTCCAGTTGTTGTTACTGGTCCAGTTGTTGTTACTGGTCCTGTTGTTGTACCTGGTCCAGTTGTTGTTTGTGGTCCAGTTGTTGTTACTGGTCCTGTTGTTGTACCTGGTCCAGTTGTTGTTTGTGGTCCAGTTGTAACTGGTCCAGTTGATGTGCCTGCTCCAGTTGTTGTATCAGCAACTGTTGTTGTACCAGTGGTTGTTGCATCTGCAAATGTTGTACCAGGGATTGTTGTATCAGTTACTGTTGTTTTGTCAGTGGTTACAGTATCAATAACTTTTGTTGTACCCCTGTCAGTTGCATCTGCAATTGTTTCAGCAGTTGTAGCTTTTGCTGGAAATGTGGTTGTTGCAGGTGTTATTGTGGTATTAATTTGAGTTTTCATTGGTGGTATTGTGGTTGGTTTATTTGAGGTGGCATTTAAATACAAAGCTCCAGTCTGATTCCCTGTAATAAATTTAATCGCATGTTAAACAATATTCTTAAGGCTGCCTAACAGCATAAATAAAAGAGAAAAATAATATCAATAAAATTTGAGAAACCTGCTGTTCTACATTTAGTGCCCATCACTTGTCAATTCAAGACCATGGTCCATTGGCATTCTCTTTGAAATATGCTGAGATTCTATTTTTCAGACTTCACTCATCAAAATTCATTAAAACAAATAATACTATACATGTAGTGCCTCAATTGCTAATTACTTTTAGTTCCACACTGTCCTGAAGAGGTTATTAAGGCCTTTGCTTCCAATTTCCATCCATATTATTTATGACAAAATCACCAAGTTCTGAAAACTGGAACGCAGAAATAGTTATTTTGATTGTGAAATATATTTACCCGTAAAAATGCCTGCAAAATACATTCCTACTAATGCACCTCCTATGGCAAGAACAAGAGCCACTGCTACCCCTGCTACAATCTTAGCATAGCTTGTAGACCCCGTTGACTTAGGATTAGGGTTTCTCTCAATATAGGCACTGTCAATGTACTTCTTATGTCTTGGGATGAAGGATTGAGGTCTTGGAGGAAACGGATCCTTTGGTCTGAAGAATTAGAAATCAGTATCATGGATCCACGGAGACTAGTTTTCCCAATTCATCTGATATATTATGTTTTACATTGTCCATATATCCTAAATACAGGCACAGCCACTTAAAAGTGACATGAGACAAGTCAAGTTACAAATGGGAGGAACTATAACTTCTTAAGTAAGTTCTTGATAAGTTTTTTAGTGATTAAAAACTTACAGTATTTTGAAAAATAAAACACAATTATATTCAAGCAAAAATCGCAGTGATATTGAAGTTTTACAGTTGGGAGTACTATAGAATTAGAAGATTGAACTGGGTTTGTCTTGTTTACTCTGATCAAAAAAGCGCGAAATATAGTAGCACGCGAAAATTACTGGGAGTACAGTATTCATTTGGCAGGGGCAGCATAATATCTTACCTCAAAGGTGGAAATGAACCAGCACTATTAAAGGTTGTGTAAAAGTTTCCGATACTTTCTGAGGCTACCCCAGAGTCACTCCAAACCCTGTGAGATGTCATTCTAGAATCATGAATTATATTGATTAACTTTTGTATCCTAGTTTTTAAATTGTTTATTTTAGAAATCCTTACAAATATTCAACATTTTGAATGCCTATGTTGCAAGATTTCAAATGACTGTCTAGTACATTTATTTAGTTTTACAAAACATTAATTTATTATATAATTTTAAAGTGTTAATCCTAGATCACATATAATGTGTAACATATAATGGATTTCAGATTTGTATGCTGTGAACCTCGAAATATGACAAAGAAGCTGGTACACAGATGTGTTACTTTTATAGTGAAGTGTCATTTTTTGTTAAAAGAAATATGATAAAAGAAAGATTAATTTCAAATGATATCTGCTTTCACATTTGTAATTAAATTAGAATTAAATAGTAACATTTTCATTGGAAATTACTAGACTAGTTGAAGTTTTTTCTAGCATTTTATTGTTCAAATTTTAAAGGTGAATACTATTGAATACAGTTATGACTGCATGGGCAAAGACATGCTTTAATGCATTGAATCTTTGAAAAATGGTGAAATAATGATGCTAGACATCAATCCTATGTATGCATCCAAATAATAAATGTATCTAAAATTGAAATTTATGTATACTAGATATTATATTGTTTGTTTACAGGACTTCTTGGTCTATTAATGATATTATCAACATCTTGCCATCAATGCCTGTATTGATTTTTGCCTTATTTGCCAACTTTGCATTTCTAGGGATTGTTAATTACATATTATCTTGAAAGATATTGAATACTTACCTAATTTTGGTTATGAATCCAGGATGTCATACTCTTCATGTCACTATATCTTTTAAAATGTATAAAAGTATAATACTCGTCGTGAATATTATAGCTAAGCAGGAAGTTAAATGTGGATTGACAATTTGCTGGATTTCCCAAGGACAACTGTATACACCTTATATCTGATTAATGACTTTTAATTGTTTGTTGTAAAGTTCATTTAAAGTACTACAGAATAACAAAATATACTAAAATATTTAAGCAGGGGTTTCACTAGAATTTCTCACAACAGGCTAAATAAATGAAAACAACAGGCAAAATTATTGGAAATCATATATACATCAAAAAGTCCCTAAAACAACAGGCAATTTAGTGAAAAAAACTGATACTAAACATTCAGTAACCATATGTTCATTTGCCTTTTCTAAGCACATGGCTCCTAAATTGTTAGTACTACATTTGACAAAAGTTTGCAAAGCTCTTCCTCATTGGAACTAATGGTAAAAATTGACAAACATTTAACTTTTTTTAACTCGCAGAGATACTTAGTTATGATATGTACTTTTTATTTTGAAAAATAGGGGTTAGTATTTATCACTTTTAACTTTGTTTAGGGAACATTATTTTTGGTGCTTGTGCCTAAACAGTTCATATTTATATTTACTTTATATAGTTGTATTTGTAATTTTAAAAACTCAAATGTAACTTATTTTGACTTTCCAATTTTTGATAAAAGAACTTTTTGTTTCCAAGTATATTTTGATATTTGATTCATAGAGAAAATAATTGCTGTTTGAACATCCTCGATGTGGATGCTTTGCATATTTATTGTTCATATGTTGCCCTTTGCATTTTTTTCATCATGATATGATGGATGTCTGATTCTTTAATTGCATATATGTTCTCGTATGTTGCATGTTGTTTATATGTTTGTATGTTGCATATATGTTGTTTATATATTGCATATATGTTGTTTATATGTGCAGATTACCTGGTATGTTTGATGCAGATTGTGTTATATTTAGTTGATAAAATGAACAAATTGAAAGTATCATCATTAGTCTTAACAAAAGAAGTTGAGATGACCTGCTGTAAATACTGTGCACTAGGCAAAAAAATGATCATTGGTCTGTTGATGCAGTATTCTCTTTACAAAATGTCTAAAAAGTTCAATTTGAGTGTTATTTAATGTGAGCTTTATTGAGACCCATAGGTTGCAGAGAATGTAACATCAGAGATGTTCGTCACGGATTTAGGAACCATTATGATCTTTGACATTAAAATCAACATTGACACTGACATTAAACTAAACAACTGCAAATGACATCAAATGTACAAAACATTATATTAGCTAATGTGTTTTGATAGTGCATGTTTAAGTAGGCTCAATGTAGAATAAAATTCAATGGATTATTTTTTTACACTATGATATAAAGGGCCTTCTACATTTCTGTGTGATGTAAATGCATCCTATCATGCTGAGTTATAAAGAATACATTCATAATACACAGTGGCATCTCATGTCGTGGCATGTCACATGCTTGGTTTATGTTTAAAATTACTATGGCATCATATACGCCAAACACAATAAATAAACATTGTTTTATAAATTCTCTTTTGAAATACAGTTGTGACATTGCTTTTAAAAGGCTGTATTTATTCCACTCAGCTGGGACTTCATGAAGTAAAATTTCTCTGCATAAAACTGTATTTCACATGAAGCGTTGAATGAATAATTAAAGTTTTAAAAATATATTAAAAACAGTTTTTCAAAAATTGTATAATACATATTATAGATATAATACATACTAAAGGATAAAGTTAGATACTTCTGTTCCTGGAAAAAATAAAACCATTTAATAAAATTATGATAGTTTGTTTTGTTATACAGTATATACATAAGTCAATCAAACTCTTACATTTATTTACAGGTCTCAAGAAGCATGATGTTTGCAATGATTTGAATATCAACAATTAAATCCACTGAAAACATCAATTGTTATTGCCCATATTGAAAAGAAAACCAAACCAAGAAAATCATAAACATGTATACAAGTAATGAGGCACACAAATTATATCCTTTGGGATCAATGTTGTTAAAAAGTGAAAACACCTGCTAATTGTTTACTCATAATTGTCTATGATTTTCAATTATAATAATTGAAATGTTGTTTTTATATCCTACTGCACTTAATCAGTAATCCAAATCCAGTCGTTGGGTCTCTTTCTTGGCACCGTATACTGCTATGTTGTGCATCACTGCATTCACACGCTGCCTTGGCTGTCTGTCTGGCTGTTTCCATGTCTCTGTCCTCATTAAAATATAAACCTGTACTTGGCCCAGCATGAATGACTCCAGTTGGAAGTTTGAATGCTGCTTCATTCTGGACTTGTTGATAGGGTTTCAGTCCATTTGAAATAAAAGAAGGTACACAATTAGGCCCAACTGTCAAGATTTTAATGACAGTCTCATCTTCAGCTTCTTTCCCACTTGATGCTATGATATTCCCACTTCCCTTGTACTCCAGGCACACTGTCTTTTGACTTGTCACATCCTCTCTTCTGCCAAATAGCTTGCCCTTTGTTTCAGTATGTGTACCCCCGTAGCTTGATACAATAACTCTTGATTCATCTGGATACTGTGTTTGACCATTTGAAGACCAAACCTCTACCCTGACTTTGATATACCAGGCCCAGTGAACAGCTGGAGCACCAGGAAACCAAATTAATGGATAGAGTGAGTTTTCCTTAGAACAATCTTTAAGCAAACGGGCACATGCAGTGTAGTCATTAGATGTGTTACCTGGTTTGTAGAAGCTGTAATGAGAGTTCCCTAATCCACCTTTCATACAGTTGGTATAGGATTTTGCAATGGAATATTGACAGGCCCTTTGGTCACAGAGTACACATTCTGGGTTCCTTTCCACTTGGTTAGGGCAATCTCTGCAGAACTGTGATTTAGGATCACGACAAAACGATTTTGTTTTGGTCATAGAGTATTTGTATACAGGGCCTTGCGTTGTCAATGGACTTAAAGTTGTGTTCAGCACTGTACGTTGAGGAAGCCCTGGTTGAAACTCTGGATATATATTTTTCAGGGATTGAACCGCTGGTCCACCAAGTTCAATAGACCCCTGGAGTGGTCCGTCAATTGTTTTAAAGGAAATGTAGCTGTAAAAACTGTTAGAATCACACATTGCCATAACGCAATCTTCGTTACTTCCCACTTTAAGCCAGTTTACTCTGCTTTGCCTACCAGTGATATGTTGCCATCTGTCTGCCTTATCCCTAGCAATGATAGTTGGCTGATTGGTAGGAGCTTGCGGTATTCGTGTGGTCATTGTATCATCAGTGTATGCTTTTATGTTCACAAAACAAAAGTCATCATAAACTTTATCAAAATTATACCAATATCGTCCAACTATTTTGATATTCCCTATGAAGAACTCTGTCAATCCCGATTGGCTTCTTTTCTTTCTCTTCGATACACCTTTTGCCATTGAACCTTCTATCTCCCATCTCCCAGAAGAAGGATTGAAAGACCACAGCTTGACATTTGTTGTTGCATTTGCTCCTATTTCATCTGCACTTATGGCCATTTCAATGTCACCTTCGATATTAAGCTCATTTCCAGCTGGATCTTCAAAGCTCATATGAAACATACCAAAGGTTTGTAGGTTTGCTGTCTGTCCATTACTATCCATGAATGTTAGATCTCCGGGCATTGTGTCTACACTCTCAATGTCTCTTGGATCGAGGAAGTTAACACTTGCCTGAACTTGTCCATTATACTTTGTCCCATCCTTGCTAAAAAATGCTCCATCAGGTATGATCACCTCGGCTAGAGATGCATTTGAACTGGTGTTTGCCAGGCTCAATGTATTGATATCAGAAGAAGATATTTCAACAATTGTATTCTTCCTTAGCATTGGAATATCTCTATAGAGAGTTCCTGTAAAATCATTTGGGATGTAAATTGTTTTGGTAGTTTCAATGAAGTTCAGTTTTAGAAAGCCCTCCTTTACAGTGATAACAAGCCGGGATACATCTTTTGGCACGAGAAACTTAAATTCACCCGTAAAACTTGTTGTGGTTACTAATTCATCAAAGAGAAAAATCTCACCAACTCTAAGAGGTATACCTTTGTCTAATACATCATATATATAACCACTCATATATACCTCTGGATCAGATGTCAGAACATTTTCATCTACCTTAACTTGGTTGCATATCTCACAACCACACTCAATAGTTTCTGCAATGTCAATGGTGTAAGAACTACATGTCAATGTCCTCAGTTCCTGTCTGATTGGTCCACAGCAATATTCTTCTTTGTCGGTTATTGGCCGTTTAATACATGGATTTCCAAGGCATTTCTTAACATCATAATGGTAGGGCGTTTCACCGTCTTGTGGACAGTCCTTTGGAAGTGATTTAAGATGTGATATTGGTGTTGAATTACAAAAACTCTCACCATCATCTATAAAAAATAAAGTGTTAAATGAAGTGCATTGTTTTGTGGACAAACCAGAGTTTATGTGATCATGACTTAATGCTTGCTTTGTGAATAACTCTTTTGATCCCAATTACAAAAGACATCTCAAAGGAGTGGTATCGATATGGGGAACTTTTTGAACACACATTTCTCTTAAACCAGTCATCAAACAATTCTGAAAATTTTACACATCGTCAATTTAATGGTCATCTTTTGAATGGTAACAATATGATTTGAAAAATATGTATATACTTTCATCTATATTGTTTTAGAAAACACATCAAACACTTGTTTTGTTCTTGGTATCATGTTTCCAGAGTGAAATGAAACATCTTTCCGAACCTCATTGGAACAAAACAACATAACACAACATGTTTAGGTCTCTCAATATTGTAATTGTACAAAGAAAATTTTGATTGATTTTAATGAAATAAAAGGTTTATCTTGATTTTTATCTACTTTAGGGGATTTTGTTTTAATTTTTTTGAACACTTTTTTAAAATCAACCAAAAATTCCTTTTTATAACTGTAATATTGAGAGATCTGAAAACATGTTGTATATGCTATTTTATTCAAACGAGGTTCGGAAAGACATTTTATTTCATTCTCAAGAATTGGTAGAAAGGAGTAAAAACAATTGCACTAAAAAACAAAAACAGTTATATAAAATATTTCTAAATAATTTTCGCATTAAATTGTTGTCAATCAGTCAACATTACATAAAATACCCTGTTTCTTTACAGAATGTTTTCAAAGATTGGTTTAAGAGAAAAACATTGTTGAATTCAGTTCTCCATATCGATACCACTCCTTTTCGATATATGATTAGATATCTCAATTTTTCAATCAGAAAATAAAATTGAGATTGTAAGGCTAAATTAGCTTGATACTATATATTAAGTATGTTTTGGAGAAGCCACCGCACTCTATTGATGAATGATATGATTCTATTGATGAATTTCCTGACCTAAGGAAAATTAGAATGAATTGTTGGTCTTTACCTCTGACAAGGAGTGTAGCAGGATTAGAGTAGGCAACACTAAAGTCAGACTGTGCTAGACACGTGTAGGAAGCACTGTCGTTGGTTGTTACAGATTGTATGATAAGTGTGTTTGTGTTACTTCCAGTTGATGTCATTTCTTTGCCATTCTTATACCTATATTGAACAAATATTTTTTATTATATCACTGTCATATGTCGCACTCTTTGACTAATTCATGTCATTTACTTGATTAGAAGACAACACGTGATATTCAACAGAATCTATTTTGCCCAGTGCAATTTAATTCTGTATATCCCCAGAGAATACATTGTTATCCCATCGAACGAAGTTCGGAGGGATATAGGGAACGCCTCCGTCCGTCCGTCCGTCCGTCCGTACGTACGTACGTCTGTCCGGGCGATAACTCAAATACCGTTTGCCCGATTTTGTTCATATTTTATACACAGCTGCCCTATGAGGGTAGAAGTTCTGCTCGAAAGCCGATTTTCAAAATGGCTGCTCATTTCAAAATGGCGGCCATTTTAGTGCCGAATTTACAGTAATTTAGGTGCAATATGTAAAACTGTAATAGCAATATGTTTTAGATGTAAAAAAATTATATAGGACATTAATAAAGCTAGAAATGTAGATATTAAAGAAGCACATGGCAGCCATCTTGAAAAATGGCGGCCTTTACTCGTTATTTTATGATTTTTGCTGTAACTCGAAAAGTAGTGGAGCAATTTTGTTCATATTTGGTATTTGAATACTATAAACATTGCACACTGTCTAAAGACACTTTTGGTAGAAGGTGGCTATTTTAAAAAATGGCCGCCATTTTGAAAAATGGTCGCCATTTTAACCTATTTTACTATAACTCGAAAAGTAGTGAAGCGATTTTGTTCATATTTGGTATGTGAATACTATAAGGATGGCACACTGTCTAATGACACTTTTGGTAGAAGGTGGCCATTTTTCAAAATGGCCGCCATTTTAATGTATTTTACTATAACTCGAAAAGTAGTGGAGCGATTTTGTTCATATTTGGTATGTGAATACTAAAAGCATGATACACTATCCTATGACACTTTTAGTAGAAGGTGGCCATTTTGAAAAAAATTTGAAAAATGGCCGCCATTTTTATGTATTTTATAATAATTCGAAAAGTAGTGAAGTGATTTTGTTTATATTTGGTATGTGAATACTGTAAGCATGGCACACTGTCTAATGACACTTTTGGTAGAAGGCGGCCATTTTGAAAAATGGCCGCCATTTTAACGTATTTTACTATAACTCGAAAAGTAGTGGAGCGATTTTGTTCATATTTGGTATGTGAATACTATAAGTATGGCAAATGGTCTAACGACACTTTTGGTAGAAGGCGGTCATTTTTTTTGAAAAATGCCTGCCATTTTTGCTATATACTTTGTTTGTAAAAATGCCATCCATGGCTGTTCGATGGGATTCGCCACGCTTTGGCGTTGCCGTTGTTCTAGTTATTAATTAATTAGACATAGATAATTTGTTATTCCATTTTTAATATCAAAATCAATGTAACATAATCTACAGTTTATTGTGGCTACCCCCAAGAGGGACTATTAAGCAGTGCTACATAAGGTATTTACAATGATGTTATAATATATTGTATGAAATGAAAATAAGATTGTCTTAAGTATGATAATGTAAATGATATGAAAATGTAAATGTAAATGAAATAATTCAATGTCTCTTCTACAATAACAGGTGCATAACAATAAAAATGTGAAAATATAATCAATGGAAATGAGGAATGTAACAGTGAATGATAAAACAACATTTTATTTTCGGTAAACACATGTTGCACTTTCACACGATGATATTCCACTAGTTCATTGGGCTTCGTGGAATATCATGTGTGAAACATGTATATTCAGTGATTAATATTTGTTCATTGTCTTAGTATGGCAATATGATACAGTTGAAAGAGTACAGCAATATAGCCTTTTTTGTAAATCTGATATTAAAACATGTGAATGTATACACTTACCATGTGTATGTATCTGGGGGTGGTTTACCAATACCTTTACATGTAAAGTTAACATCGTCCCCCACAAGGGCAACTTTACTCAAAGGATGACGTGTGACTTCTATTCCCTCTGAAATATAGAATTTGAAGCATTAGGATGTAACATTTCAAGCCTATATTAACTTTAAGTTTAAAAAGGATAATGAGAACATTAATCAAATCATATTATTGGGTGAAAAACATGTTGATTGATATGTTTTCTGGATGATAGAATATTGAAAATTTTGAGCAAGGGATATTAACAAGACGAGCAATTTTTATTCTGAGAAATGATGACGTACTTTTTCTGAAACATAATATCTTAATTTTCTTTACAAGTGCTTCCTTATTGAGTTTTATTTCTCGATTTTAATGTTAATAACTTAGTATTAAACAGTTTTTATTGTACCTTAATGTTTTATCCGCGACAATGTTAAAATAACCCTGAAGGTTTACATTTAATAATTTTACTTCCTGGATCACTTCAAGGTCATTTTATTCAACAGAATTAAGAAACATTTTCATGGATTAAGATTTAGATAATTGGCAATTGAGATATGTCCTATGTTCGATGTCCTATAGAAGTATAGAATAACTTACCTAATGCTTGCATTATGATCTCAAAGGGTGTTCCACCATCAGCACCAATAGAAGTGACATTAGTCATATATTTCTCTTTCTCACTCACAAGTTCAGCATTTTTACAAAGTCCTGGCAGTTTGAGAGCCCCTGATGAATTTGTCAACCCAAGGGTCTCATATTCTAGGTCTTTTAAGGCTACCCTAACACCAGCTAAAGGGACATGTTTTGTATTGTAAACATTAATGTGCCTTGTTGTCATGGGACATTCACATGCTGTGCAATCCTGATTCCGCTGTTGTCCTGCTGGACAATTGAGGCTGCAATCTAGACAAAATAATTAAAGGACCCATGTAACGTTTGGAAGTTTTGTTTAATGAAAAGTCATACAATCCCTGATGTTTGAAGAAAAACACTTTTAAAGTGTTAAAATTTTTGTTCCATTTGTATATTGAAAAAAAAACTTTTTAATTTATTCCATATTCGGAGAATGCCGGTCCTTGTAGCGGTACACAAATTCACTGCACTATTGACTCCTCCAGACAAATTTCAAATTTGGTGCACATAAATGTAAAATGTTGCTGTTATATTAAGGAAGAGCCAAATTGTCCCACTTTTCCTGGAACACTTTTCAAAAAATGGTATATTACATAATGTTAAGTATGTTTCAATGAATATAGAAGAATATAATAAGTAATATTAGAAAGAATTGTGTATAATTACCTGGACATCTGCCATTGTTGCATGATCGAGTGACCTCCTCTGAACCATCACAGTCAACATCAGTTGGAGACGATTTTTGACAAACACGTGATCTTTTCTGTACCCCATCTCCACATGTCACACTGCATTGCACCCATGCAGACCAACTGCTCCAAAGACCATAAACAACTGCAAAAGATATTATTTTTACCTTTGCACAAGATGTGCTGCATCGAGTGTGAAGTTTAGGAAACAACGCCCGAGTGGAATGAATCAGCCACAATACATCAGGTCTTGGGCTTAAATTCTTTTTACATATTGCAAAACATTTTCTATGAAATCTCCTGAAAGATACAAAATTACTAAAAGGACATATATATAATCAACTTTTTGCAAGGGCCAAGTTAGCAAAGCATCATTATCAATCTGTAGTCAAGTTGTCACCTCGACAACGATTTAGCAAATTACCTTGGGTGAGTTATTGGTTATATAATGCAGTGTATTTAAATGAAATACTGTGTTCAGATTGGCTAGAATCAGACACACCTTCCCCAGCTATAATTCAAAAATTAATTATAATACATATTATTTATTTACCTATTTTTACTTCTCTTCCATCAATTATTTCAGTGGATTTTGTGGGCATTGGAGTTGTTATGGTTGTTACAGGTGTTGTTGTGCTTGTCACAGGAGGTGATGTAGTTGTCACAGGAGTAGTTGGGGTTGTCACAGGAGTAGTTGGGGTTGTCACAGTTGTTGTGGTAGGAGTTGTGGTTGCCACAGATGATGAGGTTGTCACAGAGGTTGTAGGTGTTGTCACAGTTGTTGTGGATGTCACAGGAGTTGTTGTGGTTGTCACAGGAGTTGTTGGAGTTGTCACATGGGTTGTGGTTGTATCAGGAGTTATGGTTCTTACAGTAGTTGGCAAACTAGAGGAAGGTGTTGGTGTCATTGGTGTGTCCATTATAGAAGAGCACTTTGGCAGCCATGCTTTAGTACAACATTCTTTTGTAAGAGCATATTCCCCAACTCTCAATTTTCCATTTTCACAATGAATGTATCTGCAATCCACTATCATTGTTTCTTGACCTTCACACTCAGTTTTTTGTGTGGATGTTGGGGCAGTGGTTGGGATTGCAGGAGTTATTATGGTTGTCACAGAAGTTATCTTGGTTGTCACGGGAGTTGTTATGGTTGTCACAGAAGTTATCTTGGTTGTCACGGGAGTTATTGTGGTTGTCACAGGAGTGTCTGAATGTATCCAATATCATCTAAATTACAGTTTAGTAAATGGAAGGTTAAGTGGCCAAAATTGGTTTTGTATTGATGCTAGGACACTAAATATTATATTCTCAAATACATGTACCTGTAAACAATCCTGCAAAGTACATCCCTACCACTATCACTCCAATAGCAATTACTACACATATTACCACAATTGCTATGATCTTGGCCAATTTTGCAAACCTTGAGGGATCTTCTTTCTCTGCAAACTTTGGGGGATCTTCTATCTCTGCATAGATTGGTTCTGATGTGTAACCATCATACCTGAAATATCAAAGACAATGAATAATGTTTGCAAATGCTCTCTCTGTTTGATTGTTTTTGAAAATGTCAATCTATTTGGAATGTTTGTGAGTCAAAATATTTCTCATTAATATACTTTATGTTGATATGGCTTTATTGACAACAGAAAATTATTTTCAATATTAAAAAAACGGTTCTTTTGAAGGGCTAGATAACATATGCGAGGATGTCATATTGATGTCATTCTGACGCAAGTACGAGGGGTGATCAATAAGAAATGGACGCTTTTTTACACAGATACTTTTTATCGACCAATCCCTTTGATTTTCCTACCAGTGATACATCATTCACTTATCTATCAATTCTGAAGATTTGAAGACAAAATCTGTAATACATGTTGATCTATCCTTATTTCTGTGAAGGAGGTACAGGTACCCCGGGACCGACATTTACGTCACATATTCAGTTTTTAGCCAGTTTGGCAAATTTCAGTTACATTTAAACTTTTTTTTTATATGCAACAAGTGTGTGTTGTTTCAAACATTTTGCTGACTGGTTACACGTAAACAGTGAGTGATGTGAAGTGATGTCAGAGTGTTGTATGGTCAGGGTTTGCAGTTCTATTTGAGGAAGCATTGTGGAAGAAGGGGTTGGTGAGAAAATGAAACACCCCACTCCATATGGACAATTCACCTGCCCACATATCTCAAAATGTTCAGAAAACAATATTCCCGGACCTCAAAATTGAGTCCTTGGCCAATGCACCATATTTTCCAAATGTGCTCACATGTGCAACTGCATCTTGCTCCCATGTCAGAGAATGGATTCAGCCTTGTCTCACAATCTTGAGTTAAGAGGATGAGGAATCGTGTACATGAAGGACTTGATGGAACCTATGTAGAGGGCCCTGTAGAATGAATGTGACATGAATACCACATAGTGATGATAAAATATTCAAAATCAACTATGGCATAACAAAATGGGGTAATTCATGACCAAAATGTTTTGTTTTGTTCAGCCTGCATTCAACTGCATTGCATGTTAAACAAGCTATAATAACCTGAGAATGTTTGACGTAAATGTCGGTTCCGGGGTACCTATACCTCCTTCACGGAAATAAAGATATATCAAAATATATTACATGTTTTGTTTTCAAATCTTCAGAGTTGATAGATAATTGAATGATGTATCACTGGTAAGAAAATCGAAGGTATTTGTCTATAATAAGCATCCGTGTAAAAAAGCGTCCATTACTTATTGATCACCCCTCGTAATATGTTAGATGTGAAGATGTAAGTCACAAGGCTGAGCCACTTCCATCATCAATATCCATTTGAAATAGAATTGTTCTTGACATTTGAAATAATTTTCTATTGTCATAAATTGTCATGTGCTGGATACAAAGTTTTGTCTTCCTATCTTTAGTCCACCTATGTAGCTCAGTGGTACTGTGTTTACCAATTACGCAGGTCACCGGATTTTTCAATTCCTTGTTCAGGCAAGACTAATTTGCTTGTTTGCTTAAAGTATTTCAGGGTGTATGACGTGGTCCATTACTTTTACAAAAGGATATGGTTTGTACCTAAACAAAAATATAATACAATAATGATGCCTTACCTTGGTTTTGGAGTCAGATCTTGTTTGGGTCCATAAATGGGATGTCCCCCACCAGTGAGGCCTGTGTAGAAATGTTCTCCTCGAGGCCCATTTAGACCAGCATAGGCAGATTCCTTGCTAGATTTGGGATTTGAGGGTACCATATAAATGCTACCTCTATTAGAAGACATGCTGAAAAGTTGATAATGTGTTAGTCTTTTGTGTTGCATTGTATTTTATTTTAGTGCCCTGGGCTACATATTAGACTATTAACGGTCTATAAGACACTATGAAATAAATACTCGGTATATCACATTAACTAAGTTAAAATGATCTTGACATAATGTCACTTAAAACTTGGTAAGTCAGTTATGAATAATAAAGCGCTGAATGTCATTTTACGAATGAAATACATTGATACTAATTTAGTAAAATATAATTTAACAAAATATAAATCACAATATAAGTGAATTATTTCTTATATCTATAATTATAATTAATAATAAGCATATAGCTACAGGCCTTTGAAACACATAGGTGTATATTGGGCAAGTATTTGACAAGTAAGTTCTCAGCAATAGATAAGCTGAATTCTTTGATAAATTCTTATTTTATATTTGTAGCTTCTCGCAAAACATGATAACTTTAACAGCTCAAAGTAGTATTCTAACAACACTCCCAAGCTATGTGTGATATTGTTATATATCTATTATAGTGATGAAGTACTATTTTGTAATTTTAATATGACTTTATAGTGCCCTACCCCTTGTAAATAGAAGAAGGTTGGTGTGGTTTTTCTTCTGGTTTTAACATTTTATTGACTTCTTAGTTGAAGATATAATTAATTTTGTCAGTTTACCATGAGTAGCTTTACAATGGTTAACTATTCCCATGAATAGAGGGTTGGGACCTAAAAAATACCAGAACTGTTAAGTGGCATCCTTGGGCAACCCTCTTCAGAGCATTTTCCTTACACATAAAAATAAAATCTGCAGGGAATACTATAAGAACCTTATATATCTTAGATACTAATGAAGATACTAACTTCAAATTTTCAGGATTTGGTCCTGGTATGATAGGTAATCTGTATGACAAAAATGACTAAAAGAAAAAACGCTGTTGCCATAGTAACAAGAATACCACACTATTTGTTTCCTAAGAAATGTGTTTTAAGAGGTTTTGTCATTCTCTTCATATTTTTTATTCTAAATATGTCTACAATGTTGGATGATTAAAATTATGGTAAAATAATCATTTCTATTGTTTATGCAATGTTTCTAAAACAGAAGTTGATACGGCGACACATAGACCATAGCAAAAATCCTAGGATGATCGTTCTATTTGTCAGGAAATTAAAATGGAAACTGAAAAATAAGTTTCTTCCTACTGAATAGCAATTTGGTAGACCATGGCTTACACACACAAGAGAAAACGTTTATCAGTTCTATCTCATTTTGTTGTAATTTTTTTTTATCGTGCTCTGGGACTTATAACACCTATTGCCGAGTCTTCTCCAACTGCAAAGGAAGGCAAGATTTTAATAATGAACATTCATATATCTCAACAAATATGGCCTAATATTTGGACAATGATGAGGAAACTCTGAGGGAAAATTAGACGATTATGGGAGTATTGTCAATTTAAAAGCAGCATGCAAAAATATCCAATTTCAACATAAAAGTCACTTATTTCAGTCTAAAAGAAGCTGTTATTTCTAATCAGAAATGCTTTTGTGCATTCCTCCCAATGATATTGCCTCCCATGACATATCCTGTCTTTTAATGCATGTTGAATGTAGTACATTTTTGTTCATAAATGAATTTACAATTACATGACGCCAACTCTTGCCCTTTATTCCTTTTATAGGCATTTTATACTAAACGGTGATCAACACCAGAAAAGAGTGTTCGATTTGCTAAATGATATGCGTCGCCCATTAAGTCACTACATTACATGCTGAGGAATCAATTTTAATTGATAACCAATATGCATACCGTCAAAAATAGTATTGTTTCTAATAAAATACAAGTGAAGTTGAACATTACATATATCATAAGTTGAAGAAAGTGAACTTTATGTGTAAAACAGTTAATAAATATATACGCAAATATTGTTTCCCACGAGATAACATCATCAACATTCATGCATTTAACTTTTCTGAGAGTTTTCTATAATTTTTCTTAATATTAAATAATTTATATATATTCACCTGAGTTTTTACTTTAATTGACCATTCATAGCCTTCAGCATACGATTGTAAAAATGATTAAAATAACTTATGAAATAAGTATAAACCAGGAAGTTTTTTTTAGAAATTATTCACCTGTTTACAGGAATTCCCGTATTGTAGTTCGCACACATAAAGGCTTACATTATTGCCATTCTCTGGTAAAATATTTTTATTAGGAGACCCCAACAGGGGGCCTCCTCTCAATTTTATAGATATTATTAATATTTATTTATTTATTAATTTTTTATTCTTCCCCACACTTTTTCTCATACTTCCTACTAGGTTTCAACTAGCTAGTACATACTCCTACTGGGGACCTAGTCTGAACTTGGCGAGAAAGAGATTTTTATCTAGGCCAAGGTCAAAATCTAGGTCAAATATTAGTTTTTTCAAGTTTCTCAAAGCCTGACACTACATTTCAATATTTTTGTCTGATGTTTTGCATACGGATAGATATTAGTATTCTCTTAGTGTTAGCCTTCTGCTGTCTAAACACATTTTACCTAGATTTTGAGATGTTGAAGGTCAAAAAGGTATTTTTTCAATGTTTTTTAAAGATCATCTACAAGTTCCCAGGAGTTCAAATCTGACCTTAATTATGACCTGTGACCTTTGGTTGACCTACAGTGACCTTTGAAATGCAAAAAGTTGAATTTTTCAAATTGAATTTTTGAATTCAAATTTAGGTATCACAAATTGCTTTTTCAATTTTTGTTGCATCAATATGTTGCGTTTTGACACACAGTCGACCCCTTTAAACGACTAAGTGATTTTTTCGGGGGTTTTAAAGATATCCATTATAGATGACCAAAGTTATCTGAAAGCAATGGATCACATAAGTTTTCCCTATGGGAAAATTACATGGGAAATATTGTTTTCAACTTAATCTAAAAGGAATCACTTATTCACATATGACTGTCCGAAATCTGTTGCGATACTTTCCCTCCTCATTTCAACTTGGTTCAATTTTAACAAATCTTTTTTTAAACAAAATTTACAAGTTTCGTTGAGTTCTTACATGACCTTAGGCATACAGCTTACGCCTATGGGGCCTCAATAAGATTGCTTGCAATCTTAAAACTGTCGTTATTCAATATGTTTATGATTGTTAAATATTTAGTATTTAAGAATATCAAAAGGGTACTCAGAAAGTCAGATCGAAATATTTATGTGTCAAGAGTTGTACACTTTTGTTCTATGTAACACAAAAAGGAATGATATAATCAAGGTTGTCAACCCAACAACCTGAACATTAAGGACCAATGAAGTATACATAGTATATAATTAATAGTATTATTAATCCTTGTATATCATTATAATCAAAATACAGCTACGTATACAAAGAAGATGAACAACACTTCATATGATTTGTTAGAAAAACACTACAGAAAGAAAACTTTGTTAGACACCCTTAAAACAATTTAATTTTGTAGGCAGTCCTGACTTTACGTTTAAAAACTGATGTCTCATAAAAAGTCTTATGTCATTTTACATTTGGCAAAGTTCAACTATCATTCACTCAATAAATTGGATTAATGTGTCAACGATACATCACACTGATATTTCTAAATTTCTGTCAAGATGTATCTATATTTTACAATTATCTTTTATTTTTGTATTTTACATTTGATGATGTTGTAATTAGAATTGTATTTTACAACAACTTTATTTTTGTACTCAGTGGTTAGTTTAGACTTAGGTCAATTTTGTATAGCGTAGTTTTTAGTTTTTTATTGACTAATATATCATTTAATACTTTGGATTCAGTGGGATGATATTTCGTGAATTTCCTGTGATCTCCCCCTCATTGAAATATGTTATAAATCCAATAGGCTAGTCTTAAATCAAGTTTTGTGTGACCCGCCTCCCCTTGTTTACATTATATTGTTAAGTAAATGGGTGTTGGTTTGCAGACTTGATATAAAACTCAAATCTTCACTTTATGGTATAAGATAAGTAACAAGTGTGTTTTACACATTTTTACACCTATTTATTCATGAAATGAAATAAATGAAAATAAATTTAGAATATTTTGGTAATTTTAATGTTTGATGATAGTAATGCCAATGGTGGTTAAGCCATTGAAATTATTTATCAAAAAATAAAAAATTGGAAATGTGAAAAAAGAAAAATATTAAGGGTTGATATTAAATATGAATTATTATATGTAGTGATATGAAACATGTATTGATATTCAGTATGTTATGTGGTTATGATGAACAAGTTATTTTGGAAAAGATTTGATGATAAGAACATGATAAGATTGGGAACTTCACATATGAAAAACCTATAAGTATGTAAGTCAGACCTGTATATCCAAACACCACTCTATTCTGAACACTTTTTCTCTCATAGAATCATATACTTCAAAAACTTGAAATGCGAACACTTGTTAATTCAAACACTTGACTGGTCCTTTCAGATAAAGCAGGTTTTATAAAAAACACTTGACTGGTTCAAGAAGCTTTCAGATTAAGCAGGTTTTATTGTAAACACTTGACTGGTCCAAGAAGCTTTCAGATTAAGCAGGTTTTATTGAAACACTTGACTGGTCCAAGAAGCTCTCAGATTAAGCAGGTTTTATTGTAAACACTTGACTGGTCCAAGAAGCTTTCAGATTAAGCAGGTTTTATTGAAACACTTGACTGGTCCAAGAAGCTTTCAGATGAAGCAGGTTTTATTGAAACACTTGACTGGTTCAAGAAGCTTTCAGATTAAGCAGGTTTTATTGTAAACACTTGACTTGTCCAAGACTCTTTCTGATTAAGCAGGTTTTATTGAAACACTTGAATGGTCCAAGAAGCTTTCAGATTAAGCAGGTCTTATTCAAATACTTGACTGGTCCAAGAAGCTTTCAGATTAAGCAGGTTTTATTGAAAGTCATATATGTTGTTGTCAATGTTTTCAGACTGAAGCTGCAAATGAAGTTCTTGATAAACAGAAGAAAGATTTAGCAGTATTGGGAGACATGGACCTTAGTCAATATGCCATAAAGGGATCGGAGCATGAGTGGGACGAGGCTTTGGCAGATGGCAGTGTGAAGGGAACAGTTAGCATGAAAAGGTATAGTATGATATGTATCTATTGGGAGGCATTGAGTCATATGCCATAAAGGGATCGGAGCATGAGTGGGACGAGGCTTTGGCAGATGGCAGTGTGAAGGGAACAGTTAGCATGAAAAGGTATAGTATGATATGTATCTATTGGGAGGCATTGAGTCATATGCCATAAAGGGATCGGAACATGAGTGGGACGAGGCTTTGGCAGATGGCAGTGTGAAGGGAACAGTTAGCATGAAAAGGTATTTAGTCTGATATGAATATGAATGTATAATGTACCTACATTATGATACTCGCATCCCCTTTGTCTCGAACTTTCCCAAGCAAGTGGCAGATATGGGGGGATTTAGTAAACATTCAAATGAAGAAATAATGTGTTAGAATTACAGTATTTGGATTGTTATTTAAGAAATAGTGTTCGCATGGACCTGACATTTTCATTGCCAATATATATAGACATGTTACCACTTTTATTTTTGACAGTTTTAGATACCATGGCAATGAATATATGTTACCATAGAAACAGATTATTTTTTGTGACTGTTAGAGGAACCCAACATTTGGTTCTGTAACGTTGTTTCACTTCTGTAACTATTTGTAATAAATTACTTGGTGGTGACACTTTGTCATTAATGGCTTGTTTAGTGTTTTTATGTCACCACCAAATAATGGTGACATATTGTTATGGTCGGCGGTTTGTGTTTGGCATCTGTAACAAATTTTTACAACTTCCAATAAAATAACAGATACTGTTTAGACTGACTTCAATTTTTTCGAAATCATCTACAAGTTTTCAAAAGTTCAAATCAGACTTTAAGATTTGACCTTCAATGACCTTTTAAAGGTCAAAAAAGTCAACGGGTCTTTTTTCAACTTGCTTCAAGTTGACCAATTTTCATCTACAAATTCTCAAAAGTTCAAATCTGACTATAGATTTGACCTTCTCAACGTCAAAATAGATGATTTGACTTTCTCAAGGTCAAAAGCCTTTTTTCAAAATCATCTTCAAGTTCGACTTGAGGTTGAACTCACATGTTGTCATGTTGATGCCTTGTTATGTTATTGTTATACTGTTTATTCTTTTGGTAATTTAATATTGTCAAATACAGCATCAATCTTCCTGCCATACTCAGGTTTTGACATTTCATTTGTCAAAAGCAAACCATAGACTTTTCATTTATATTATTATGAGGCAAAATCACCATTCACTTTTGTTTTGAGGTCAAAATGCTCCCCCGTTTGTTTTAAAGGAATTGACCCCCAACCTCATCAGAAATCAACTTCATATAGAAAATCCAATATTCCAGTAATCAGTATGACTCAAATAAATTTATTTCATCATATTTCTTTTAATGGATCATATTGTAGGCGTACTAACATTAAGTACATTGTTATTCCAATAAAATTTACTTCACGAAACTATACTTAAAATGATTGAGTGACACATAGAAAAGAACTTGAAATGTGAACACCTGCAAATCCAAACACTTTTGGCCAGCCAGTCATATGTTTCTTTTAAACTTTTAAATGTCTGTATTTTAATTGCAGTGAGAAGAGAAAGGTGGATGAAAACAAGACTCCAGGTCACTCCTCTCACAAGAAGTCGAAAAAACAGAAGACACCAAAGTCAGGGAAGAAAGGAAAACATTGAGACATTCAGAAGCTGATTACACTTTGAACAATATAATTTTGAAACATTTTATCAGGATCCCTTTGAGTGGAAATGTCTCTATTTCCTCATGCATCATTAATATCAAGATTATTTACGTTAAAGGAGGATCGAAACATTTTACTGTATCTGATTTTTAAATCAGTGTATGTGGAGATCAGTATCCTGTCATTTGTTATCAAATAAAGATTAGAATATAAAAAAATCATTAAGAATGAAATCTGATATGTTTCTGAATGCATTCATTTGATAAAATGTCAATGTCAAATCTTAAATGATTATTATGCTTTGACTACACTCATTTGCTCAATTTATATACTTTACTATAAATTGTGATAATGGTCTTAAGGACTGTCAACAGATGGTTCAGAATTCAATGGGTTTATTATCTCAACAAACAAAGTTTGGTAGGGAATTAGTGAAGCTCTCTGTTTGTTTGGTCAGTCAATCCTGTCCAGAAGATAACTCGAAATTCTAGAAAACAGAAAACAAAAATACTCCTAAAATTTCAGATCCAATCCAAGAATATGTATGCAAACGTGCCAAAGGGAAAGGACCAACAATTGCAAAGTAACCCAGCGATACAAAGAAAATATCTAAGTGTACACCAGTCATGTGGAAAACAAACCCCAGTTTTAAAATGTTTTGGCTTAAAAAGTCTGATTGGCCCTAGATTTTCGTGTCATGAAATATCTCTGAAAATTTGAAATCAGTCCATCAAATGGTTGTCCCTTCAGCCACTACTTTAATGACAGTTTCATCTGATTCCTGCTCAGAGATTGATGTTATAATAAATTACAGTCAAAAATTGACAGTTGATTCAACAGGAAGTGAGCATTGGATATTTATAACACTTAAAACACATAAAACCAAATGAACATGGAATTTGACACACAAATCAACAAAATAATTATGTGTAGATTTTTATATTTTTCAATAAGTATTAACACATCCTTAAATGTACATTGGATATAAATACACTTGCACATTTAGTAAAGGTTCTAGTAAGAAAAACCAAGACTTGTATACATGAATGTATCTTTAGTTACCCATATTATTTACAATATGTTCACATAGAAAAGCAACACACCATAAAATATTAATGTATATATACAGGGTGTTAAACAAATATGTTCTCCCCCTTAATTTCAAGAGTATGAACTTTTATGCATAAAAGTGCATCTAGTTGAGCTAGTCATCTGAAACTTCTTGTTGAGTTGCTCCTTGAAGCCTAGTTTTAACGTGCTAAAGAACAATCCAGATATCTTGCAGATTAAAAAGCAATACAACATTATGTTGATGTTAAAGTTACAATGGGAGAACATATTTATTTGACACCATGTACATGTTAAGCAACAATTAGTACCCATGTACTATTTTAAATGTTCCTTCTTATGCTCTCCTGCACTTAATAAGAATACCATATCCTGTTGTTGGCTTTCGAGTATCACACTGTACACTGTTATGCTGTGCTTCACTGCATTCACATGCAGCTTTGGCTGTATGTCTCGCTGTGTCCATGTTTGAATTGTCATCAAAGTATAGTCCTGAACTTTCCCCAGCATGTATGATTCCAGCTGGTAGTTTGAATGTTGCTGTTGCTTCACCGTGAGCGTATTGTTGTAGCCCAGTCGTAATAGTATAAACACAATCTGTACCTTCAGCCACTACTTTAATAACAGTCTCATCAGATTCTTGCTGAGAGGTTGATGTAAAAATGTCCCCACTTCCCTTGTATTCCAAGCATACAGTCTTATCTTTTGTCACATCCTCTCTGCTGCCAAAGAGCCTGTTCATTGTTTCAGCATGCTTACCTCCGTAGCTTGATACAACAACCTTTGATTCATCTGGATGTAGTGTTCCACCATTTGCACCATTACTCCAAACTTCAACTCTAACCTTGATAAACCAGGCCCAGTGAACAAAGGGAGCATTTGGAAACCAAGCTAATGGAAAGAGTGAGTTTTCACCAGGACAATCAAGCAAACTGGTACATGCTGTATATTCAACTAAAGTGTCTGCTGATCTATAGAATCTATAATGAGAGTTATTATTTTCACTTGTCACACAATTGATATAAGCCTGTGTATATGAATGCTTACAGGCTACCCGGTCACATTTCATGCATTCTGGTATCTTCTCAACTAGGTTAGAGCAATACATACATAATTCACTGTCTTCATCATAACATATTGATGTCTGGCTGTCATATAAAGGGCCTGATGTTGTCAATGGGCTGACTGTTGTGTTCAATACTGTGTATTGATCAGCCCCTGGTCGAATTTCTGCCCATGCATTTGTCACACCAGGGACTGATGGTCCCCCAAGTGTAGTTGAGCCATGAAGTGGTCCATCAATTGTGTTAAATGTTAGGTATCCCTGGAAATGGTCAGCCTCGCACATAGTTAATACACAGTCCCCATTGGACCCAACTTCTCTAAAATTCACATGAACAAAGCTTTGTTTGCCAGTTATGTGCTGCCATGTCTCTGCCCTGTCCCGTGCAATTACAGTTGGCTCATTTGTAGAAGCTGGTGGTATTTGTGTGGTCATGTTATCACTATCATATGCCTTAATATTAACAAAACAGTAGTCTTCATTGACCCTGTCAAAATTGTACCAATATCTTCCTACTATCGTCATGTTCCCAATGAAGAACTCCCTCTCAAACTGAGATCGACTTCGCTTCTTCCTTCTAGAGAGTCCTTTTCTTAATGAGCCTTCAAGCTCCCATCTTCCTGAAGAAGGATTGAAAGACCAAAGCTTGACATTCGTGGTATCATTTGCTCCTAATCGTTCTGGACTTATGGCCATTTCAACATCACCTTCGATGTTTAGCTCATTTCCAGCAGGATCTTCAAAGCTCATATGAAACATACCAAAGGTCTGTAGGTTTGCTGTTTGTCCATTGCTGTCCATAAATGTCAGATCTCCAGGCATGGTGTCTATGCTGTCCATATCTGTTGGATCAAGGAAGTTTACACTTGCCTGAACTTTTCCATTATACTTTGTCCCATCCTTGCTATAAAATGCTCCATCGGGAATGATCACCTCGGCAAGCGATGTGTTCGAACTGGTGTTTGTTAGGCTTAATGTGTTGATATCAGAAGAAGATATTTCAACTATTGTATTCTTTCTAAGCATTGGAATATCTCTATAGAGAGTTCCTGTAAAATCATTTGGGATGTAAATTGTTTTGGTAGTTTCAATGAAGTTCAGTTTTTGGAAGCCTTCCTTTACAGTAATAACGAGCCGGGATACATCTTTTGGCACAAGAAACTTAAATTCACCTGTAAAACTAGTGTGGGTTACTAATTCATCAAAGAGAAACATCTCACCTAATCTAAGAGGTATACCTTTGTCTAGTACATCATGTACATATCCACTCAAATATACTTTTGGATCAGATGTCAGAACGTTTCCATCTACTTCAACTTGGTTACATATCTTGCAACCACACTCTATAGTTTCTGCAATGTCAATGGTGTAAGAACTACATGTCAATGTCCTCAGTTCCTGTCTGATTGGTCCACAGCAATATTCTTCTTTGTCTGTTATTGGCCGTTTAATACATGGATTTCCAAGGCATTTCTTAACATCATAATGGTAGGGCGTTTCACCATCTTGTGGACAGTCCTTTGGAAGTGATTTAAGATGTAATATTGGTGTTGAATTACAAAATCTCTCGCCATCATCTATAAAAAATTGAAGTGTAAAATGTAATGCATTGTTCAAAGGGCAAACCAGAATTGATGTGAGAAATAGTCATGAGTTAATGTTTGCCATGTGAATCTCCCTATTTTTGATTCTAATTACATGACATCTTAAAGGTCCATGTGTAGTATGGCAAGTGATTTTAGACAGTCATATCTTTCACCATGAGTACTTTCTGGCCATAAATACAATGGTTTTTATTAAAACAATATGTTTTCTTTCAAGTGAAGTCCCCATGATAGTAAAATATCAATCCAACTCTCTGAAAAATTATGGATTAGGGCCCCACCTTGACACTTTTAAAAAAGTTTAGGCTTATTTTCTAAAATAGGATCTAGTTTTTCTCAATTTAAACATATCGAAAGTTTCTTTTACACTATATTAACAATTTCTGAAAAGGGGATGTGTATTGAAATCCGTTAAAGTTAAAAACCACATATTCCATGTTATTTTCCCATGGGGAAAACTTGTGTTATCCATTGTTTTCAGCATCATTTTGGTCATCGAAAATTGATATCTTCAAAACTAGTCTTTCAATACCATTATATTTTTGAAGATGATTTAGACCCCTTGTTTAATAATCTTTTCATGCAATAAAAATCAGAAAAAGGAGGTCCTCTTTTGAGTAAATAGGTTCAATGTCTTGAAAAAAATGTTGACATGGGGTCCCTATTCATATTTTTTCGAATTGTTCGATTGATCTTTTTTATCACCATGGATATTCCACTTGAAAGAAAACATTTTTTTATAAAAACCACTGTATTTATGCACAGAAAGAACTCATGGTGAAAGATATGACCGTCTAAAATCACTTGCCATACTGCACGTGATCTTTTTCAATATTTCATTGATATCTCAATTCTTGATCAGAAAATAAATTAAGATTGTAAGGCTTAATAAGCTTGATGCTATATACTAAAGTATGTTATGGAGAAGCCACCGTAGTCCTTTTCTCTTGATGAATTTCCTGAACTAAGGAAAATAGAATGATTTGTTGGTCCATACCTCTGACAAGGAGTGTAGCAGGATTAGAGTAAGCAACACTAAAGTCAGACTGTGCTAGACACATGTAGGAAGCACTGTCATTGGTTGTCACAGATTGTATGATTAGTGTGTTTGTATTACTTCCAGTTGATGTCATTTCTTTGCCATTCTTATACCTATTGAACAAATAGTTTTACTATATCACTGTCATATATTTCACTCTCCGATTGTTTCATGTCCTTCACTTAATTCGAAGATAACAGGTGATAATCAATGTAATTCATATGATTTCCATGGAATATTATACAAATATTTCAGAAGTGAATTGAATTATTAAATTGAAGCCTATAGGCCCAGGGGAATACACATTGACGAATCATTGAAAGTTCAAGAGGTATTCACTGAAAATAGTGTGAAATATTTGTTTTATTATGATGAAATTGTGAAAAGTATGATAATGGAATAAATAGTGATTACGTGATAATTGAATGTTTTAATAGAAATGGCCAATGGTCTCTTCTATAGTTTATAGTTTATTTCATAATATAACAATGTAAAGTACAAAACGTGTGCACACGACACCCTTAGTAATTGGGCGTATCAGTGCTTATTTCAAAATGTGTTGCAGAGCAACCAAAATTACATATAATATAACATATAACAATACAGATACAATTAATAGATACAATACAGAAACTTTGAAGTCTTGAGAGAAATAATTAAATAAACAAAATAAAACAGGCGCATAACAATAACATGTGAAAATATAATTAATAGAAAGGAGGAATAAAATAGTGAATGATAAATCAAGCATTTATTTTATTTTTGGTAAACTCATATGGCACTTTCACAAGATGATATTCAACTAGCCCCTGTGGCTTCATGGAATATCATTTGTGAAATATGTACAGATTTTCAGTGATTAAATATTTGTTTATTGTCCAGTATGGCAATTACATGATACAATACATACAATTTAGCTAATTTTTTATAAACACGGCATAAAAACATATGAATCTATGCACCTACCATGAGTATGTATCTGGAGGTGGTTTACCAATAGCTTTACATGTAAAGTTAACATTGTCCCCCACAAGGGCAACTTTACTTGAAGGATGACGTGTGACTTCTATTCCCTCTGTAATAGAATTTGAAGATGTAGAATTTCAATCCTTCATTAGGTCCAAAACGGTTAGAAAGAACATTCAGATCAAATCATATGTTTGGTGATAACAAAAACCATGTTGAACGATATGTTTTCTGAATGATAAAATATTTTAAATTTTGTATTGGGGATTTTTATATTAACACACCAATTCTGGTGGATAAAATAAACATGAATAAATAAACAAGACCAGCAATTTTTATTCTGAGTCATACTTTTTCTGAAACATGATTTTATTTTTTACAAGTGCTTCCTTATTGAGTTTTATTTCTCGATGATTTAAATGTCAATTACTTAGTATTAAACAATTTCTATTGTTACTTAATGTTTTATCCGCGACATATTAGGTATGAAACTCGACATTGATAATTTTACTTCCTGGTTCATTTCATTAAACAAACAGAAACAAGAAATTTTCTTATGTGCATCAATGTTGGAGATATTTGGCAATTGGGATTGTAACAAATTTTGAACTTTTTAAGTGCAGACAGGTTGTGCAGACATTCCGTTAATTCCTTAAAACGAGTTTGTTTTGTCCGATAAAAGTATAAAATAACTTACCTAATGCTTGCATTATGATCTCAAAGGGTGTTCCATCATTAGCACCAATAGAAGTGACATTGGTCATGTATTTCTCTTTCTTGCTCACAAGTACAGTATTGTCACAAAGTCCTGGCAGTTCCAGTGCCCCAGATGTATCAGTCAACCCAATAATCTCATACTCTAGGTCTTTTAAGGCTACCCTAACCCCAGCTAGAGGGACACGTTTTGAATTGTACACAGTGATTTGTCTTGTTGTCATGGGACATTCACATGCTGTGCAATCCTGATTCCGCTGTTGGCCTGCTGGACAATCAAGGCTGCAATCTAGACAAAATAATTAAAGGACCCATGTAACGTTTCGAAATTTTGTTTAATGAAAAAAAATTATATGATATTTTCTTTTATTTTCCATTCTATAAGGATGAATAAAGGAAAACATTAATTTTTAAAAGCTTTTTTAAATCATACAATCCCATTTTGAAAGAACCATTTTTAAAGTGTTAAAATTTCTGTTTCATTTGTATATTGAAAATTAAAATTTGAAATTTATTTTTCTGAAATATAGTATAGCTCATTCATGTACAAAAACAACTAGACATTAAACTCGTGGGTAGCAATATTCGTAGAATGCCGGTCCTCGTAGCGGCAGCAAATTCACTGCACAATTGACTCCTACAGACAAATTTCAAATTTGGTGCACACTAATGTAAAACGTTGTCAAATGTTGCTGTTATATTAAGGAAGAGCCGAATTGTCCCACTTTTTCCAAGAACATCTATTCAAACAATGTTATGTTACATAATGTTAAGTATGTTTTAATAAATATAGAATAAGTTAATAAGTGATATTAAAAACAATTGAATAATTACCTGGACATCTGCCATTGTTGCATGCTCTAGTGACCTCCTCTGAACCATCACAGTCAACATCAGTTGGTGAAGATTTCTGGCAAACACGTGATCTTTTCTGTACCCCTTCTCCACAAGTCGCACTGCATTGCACCCATGAAAACCAACTGCTCCAAAGACCATAAACAACTGCAAAAATTGTATGTCTCAGGACCTTTCTAATGTTGAATGATTATTTAATGATTTAAGCCCTGGAGTGCAATGTAGCCTGAATCATTCCTCAAAAAGTTGTTATATTAACCTTTGCACAAGATGTGCTGCATCGATCGAGAAGTTGAGGAAACAACGCCTGAGTGGAATGAATCAGCCACAATGCGTCAAGTCTTGGACTTCCTTTCACATTTTGCAAAATATTTTCTATGAAATCTCCTGAAAGATACAAAATTACTAAAATTAGATATTTATAATGAAACCTTTTGCAAGGGTCAAGTTAGCAAAGCATCGTTATCAATATGTAGAGTTAAGTTGTCACCTCAACAACCATTTAACAAATGGCCTTGGGTGAGTTATTAGCTATATAATGTAGTGTATTTAAATGAAATGCTGTGTTCAGATTGGCTAGAATCGGACACACCTTATCCAGCTATAATCCAAAAATAATTATAATACATTTATATTAATAATAATCCTTTATTCACCTATTTTTGCTTCTCTTCCATCAATTATTTCAGTGGATGTAGTGGGTATTGGAGTTGTTGTGGTTGTCACAGGTGTTGTTGTGCTTGTCACAGGAGTTGACCTAGTTGTCACAGGAGTTGGTGAGATTGTCACAGGAGTTGTTGGGGTTGTCACAGTTGTTGTGGTTGCCACAGGAGTTGTTGGGGTTGTCATAGTTGTTGTGGTAGGAGTTGTGGTTGCCACAGTTGATGAGGTTGTCAAAGGGGTTGTCACAATTCTTGTGGTTGTGGTAGGAGTTGCCACAGTTGATGAGGTTGTCACATGAGTCGTTGGGGTTGTCACAGTTGTTGTGGTAGGATTTGTGGTTGCCACAGTTGATGAGGTTGTCACAGGAGTTGTTGGGGTTGTCACAGTTGTTTTGGTTGTGGTAGGAGTTGCCACAGTTGATGGGGTTGTCACATGAGTTGTTGGGGTTGTCACAGTTGTTGTGGTAGGAGTTGTGGTTGCCACAGTTGATGAGGTTGTCACAGGAGTTGTTGGGGTTGTCACAGTTGTTTTGGTTGTGGTAGGAGTTGCCACAGTTGATGGGGTTGTCACATGAGTTGTTGGGGTTGTCACAGTTGTTGTGGTAGGAGTTGTGGTTGCCACAGTTGATGAGGTTGTCACAGGAGTTGTTGGGGTTGTCACAGTTGTTGTGGTTGCCACAGTTGATGAGGTTGTCATAGGAGTTGTTGGGGTCGTCACAGTTGTTGTGGTTGCCACAGTTGATGAGGTTGTCATAGGAGTTGTTGGGGTTGTCAGAGTTGTTGTGGTTGTGGAAGGAGTTGTGGTTGCCACAGTTGATAAGGTTGCCACAGTTGATGAGGTTGTCACAGAAGTTGTTGGGGTTGTCACAGTTGTTGTGGTAGGAGTTGCGGTTGCCACAGTTGATGAGGTTGTCACAGGATGGGTGGTTGCCACAGTTGATGTGGTGGTGGTGGTTGTTGTGGTAGGAGTTGTGGTTGCCACAGATGATGAAGTTGTCACAGGAGTTGTTGTGGTTGTCACGGGAGTGTCTGAAATGATTTAATATCATGTTAAATCACAATTCAATAGATAGAAGGTTAAATGACCAAAATGTGTTCTGCATTGATGCTAGGACACTAAATATTAAATTCTCAAATACATGTACCTGTAAACAACCCTGCAAAGTACATCCCTACCACTGCCGCTCCAATAGCAATAACTACACATATTACCACAATTGCTATGATCTTGGCCGATTTTGCAAACCTCGAGGGTTCTTCTTTCTCCGCAAATTTTGGGGGATCTTCTATCTCTGCATAGATTGGTTCTGATATGCAACCATCATACCTGAAATATCAAAGACAATGAATAATGTTTGAATCTTTTTTGAGTGTTTATTTGTCAAAATAGTGTACAAGAATATTCTGTATGTTGATTTCGACTTGCACCTTGGGTTTATTGTCATACAAGAAGATATAGTATATCGAACAGTGATTAAATTTTTGCCAACAAATATTGTCAAGTGACCCAAACACTTGTAATCAGAAATAGGTGTTGATACTCGTGATTAGGATATTTTAGATAGATATCATTTGCAAGGACATCATACTGATGCCGTTATGACACAAGTAATATGTTATCTAGATGTAAATTAAAGATGTAAGTCACAGGGCTGAGACACTTCCACCATCAATATCCGCGGGAAATGAATTTTTCTTGAGGTATTAATTCAGATATAAAATAATTCAATATAAAATATTGACATTTTCTCTGTCAGTTGGAGACATAAGCTCAAGCATTTCAATATACCTGAAATAATGTCTTACCTTGGTGCTGGAGTAGGATATTGTTTAGGTCCACTTAAACCTGGGTAAATGGTCTCTTCTCCACCAAAAAGAGATGAGTAGAAATGTTCTCCTCGAGGCCCAGTGAGACCAGTATAGGCAGAGTCCTTGTTAGAGTTTGGAGGTGTAGGTACCAAATAAATACTCCCTCCTCTATTAGAAGACATGCTACAAAGTTGATAATGAGTTAGTATTTTGTATTGTATTGTATTGTATGTTATTGTATTGTTTTTATAATGTACTGTATAGTGATTTTCAAGTGTCCCGGGCAAAACCCTAGACCATTGACAGTCTTAAAAGAGACTATAAAATAAAAACACTGTATATCACATTAAATAAGTAATAAAATATTATACTAAATTAATACTTACATACATGTACATGTATAATAACTTATAAATTATATTCTTCAGGCCTTAAGCATACAGCCACGGGATTGAATAAAACGTTTATTCTAAGATTTTACACTTTCTAGTTTTTTTGTTGCTGTTAAGTAATTATCAAATATGGTGAACAAGTGCCAAAGGGAAAGGACCAAACATTATCATATAACACAGCAAGAACAAAAGAAAACACCTAATTTAGAGTACACCATAAGTAAAACAAAATATACATCCCAAACCAAGATCTAACTTGAAAATGATAATCATATTGTCTTATACCCTACTCCCTAGCCATTGAAGCATCATAATCACAATCCAAAGAATAAGTATTGAAGAATTGATTTAAATTTATGACCAATATGCAGCAAAATTATTGGTAGATACTTGTATTAATACATAATTCCGTCTCAAAAGGTGTTCAATGAAAAAGTGAAGTTTAACATTATGCTGTATTCGTATATACATCATAAGTTAAAAAGTTAACTGCGCAAAACAGTAAATAAATATACGCAAACATTGTTTACCACAAGAATACTCATAAGATAAACACTATCAACATTCATGTATTTAAACCTTTATGAGCATGTTCTAAAACTGTTCTTTAGATTAGATAATTAATGTATATTTACCTGAGTTTTTTTTACTTTAATTGATCATTCAGAGGCATTAGGATGCAACAATTGTAATAGAATGATTCAAATCTTATATAAATATATAAACCAGGAAGTTTCTGAAAAATATTCACCTGCATGATCACTGGAATTCCCAAATTATGGTTTTCAGACACAAAAGCTCGCATTCTCAGCTAAAACACTTTACTTGTTTCTTTCAGGACTATTCAACATTTTTATTATTGTTAAATGCTTGCTATTTAAATACATAAACACTGTGCTCAAAAATGTTGAATAGAATCTTGGTGTAGGTCACGTTTTTGATATTTTAATACTCTTTTGTAAGAAGAGATATGATTAACAAAAAGTAATAGCGTAATCTTGGTGGTTTGCCAAGAACCTGAATATTTAGCACGGAAGAATTGTACATGTTACATAAAAAATGTATACGTATCATTAAAAAAGAAACTGCAGAAACAACAATCAAAACAATTGTTAGTTTAAATATTTATAAAATATGCTTTGAATTCAATGGCAATTACTCAGATGCGAGTAGGTAGTTACCAGTTTCGCCACCAGGTGGCTGATTCGGGGGGAATTAACATGGCAGGGTATTACAAAATTCCCTTTAACTTGAATATGCATCAGTTTTAGTGGTTCACTTTTCATATTACCCTTATGTATCTTATAGTTATACAAATTAAAATATGTCCAGTAAAATAAAATATTATCTGCCCAACACAAGAAAAGATACTTCACTTTTTGTGGTTTTACAACATGGGGTCTATGGGGAATCTCCCCGACCTAGAAGTCTCATTTTCAAAGAAAATTAAATTTTCAAAGTTGATAAACTCTTTTCAAAACGACATTTCTAAATGTAATTTCACATGTAGATTCCAAATATAACATCGGTTTGACTAAACTGTGAATTTTTGATGACGTATATCAAGATTATTTCTACTCGCATCTGGGATATTTAAAAAGCCATTGAATTTATTTATCAATAAATGAAATATAGTACTTGTAAATGTGAAAAATAAGACTCATGTGGCGATATTGAATATATTATGAATTATTATATGTAGCGATATGAAACTTTATTGAAATTCAGCATGTGAATTATAGTGGACAAGTTATTTTAGAAAAGAATTGGTATTAAGAACAGGATACAGGATGTCCCGAAAGTATGCCCCCCCCCCCACAGGCAGACATAAACAAATATCTCCATAGTATCCATCATACAGGGTGTTCCAAAAGTAACAGGACTGGTGCTGGCATTTTGTTAAATATACACCAATCGTCTTCCAAATTTTACATAATGTACTTTCATGTATCGTTACTAAAATTGCAAAGTTTCGACAAAAAATATGTAACTCGGGTAGAGTTATGGTTGCTATGGTAACATGACATCACAATACCCGGGGCAACATTCCAAGCAGAACGTTACATTAAGACAGAAAGAGATATTAAGCATTTTGTACATCCCATATCAAAGTTGAAATGCAACAACTGTTGGGAATTACATTTGTTTTACATAATTTGATATTCCTATGTATCCTATGTACTTTGAAAAATAGGCTCCTCTTTGGTCAGTAGAAGAGTAGCACTCTGTATCCATGACTCAAACACATGAGTGAACCCATTTGAGGCACGTATCACGCATGGTCGATTGAACAACTTGGAGAAGGTCATTCTCATCTTTAAAGATCTTACAGCACTGATTAGCATTCCATTCTCCATGTAAGTAAAAATTGGATGTTGCATGATCAGAAGAGTATGGTGCATGGTTTTAGAACTCAAGACCTAGCTCCTCTCTAGCTGCATGGTCTTTAATGGTGACCTGCGGGCAGACGCACTATCAAGGTGGATGACTGGCTTCAAATTGGGTCTTTTCAAAAACTCAACCATGAATTGTTCGGACTGTAATTCATAGTGATATTCCAGGAAATTGAATAAATATTATCATTATTATGGAATTATACTTGAATCTGAGTTTTATAGCAACACCTTTACAACAAAGCAACTAATAAAATAAACAAGAAATGTTGTATTATAATAGGTGAATTAGATACTACCTTCAGTAATACAAAAAATGTTAGATATCACATTTTCAGAAAAAGTTGCCCCGGGTATTGTGATGTCATGTTACTATAGTAACCACAACTCTACCCGCATTTCATCATTTTTTCTGAAACTATACAATTTTAGTTGCAATACTTCAAAGTACAATTTGTGAAAATTTGAAGATGGTGCAAAATTGACAAAATGCCAGCACCAGTCCTGTTACTTTTGGAACACCCTGTATATCATTTTAAAGCTCAGCCAAAGTTTCATTGATTTTCCAAGTATCATGGTTAAACTCAAAAATGTCAAAAAATTACAGACAGTTCAAAATATGTGTTTGGCCAAAATTAAAGTTCAGTGTTTTGCCAAATTAATAGTCAGTGTGTCCTCCCTCCCTTTCAGATATGACCTAAAAACGCTTCATATAGAGTTGTGGCATTTTGTAATCCACTTCCCAGATAGCACAACTCTGATGGGCCAACGTTGGCCCAACAACTACGTATCTGTTGGCCCAACGTTGGCTGTCGTGGTTGGCCCACCGTCGCTATGTCCATCGGTCCAACGTTGGTCCACCGTCGCTATGTTCATTGGCCCAACGTTGGTCCATTGTTGGCCCAACACGATTTCAAGCTACGTTGGCCCATAGTTGGCCCACTAATAGTAAGAAGACTGGTTGGCCCGACGTTGGTCAACAGTTGGTCCGACAATGTTAAGAGGGATGTTGGCGCATTGGCGGTCAAAACTGGTTGGCCCAACGTTGGTCAACAGTTGGGCCAACTTTGGCCCAACGATTACGTATATGTTGGTCCAACGTTGGCTGACGTGGTTGGCCCACCGTCGCTATGTCCATTGGCCCATGGTTGGCCCAACATTGGTCCATTGTTGGGCCAACCATATTTTCTTTCGGTGGGCCAACGTTGGGCCAATGGACATAGCGACGTTGGGCCAACCACGTCAGCCAACGTTGGTCAAACATTGGCAGCCACCACAGAACCAACGTTGGCCCACTGTTGACACAATTTACCTTTTTGTACAGCCATTGTTGGCTCCCTGGGCAGCCAACGACAGGCCACATGAATAATTTGCCAACTGCAACCTTGAGAACCAATGGTCACCGATAGCGACGTTGACCCAACGTCTTTGTGCTATCTAGGCATTCAGTACTGCTACTGTAAATGTGTTCACATATTATATCCGTTTTACATCAATAAAATATGGTGGCTTGTTTTTCCATACTAAATATATTTGGTAGCCTTATAAGTGGTTTCAACTGTATTACAAGGCGAAAATCCATATTTTTGAGGTGAACAACATTATCAGATAATTTTGAAAGAAAATATTACAAAAATTTACCTTAATTTTTTTTAATGACTGCTGGTATGTTTTCTTCTATTTTTAAGCATTTGCAATGATTTATCGATAGGTGGCTTCCTGGTATTAGCGGCAGCCAACAACGGGCCAACGTTGGCCCAACTACAATTTGCCAACTGCAATTTTGCACTGATCGATAGGTCCCAGATAGCACATCGCCAATGGGCCAACGTTGGGCCAACAACTACGCATCTGTTGGCCCAACGTCGGCTTGAGCGGTTGACCCAACGTCATTTTGTCCAGCGGGCCAACGTTGGTCCAACAGTGGCAAAAAATTATATTGGCCCAACGTTGGTCCAATGTTGGCACAGATAGCACACCGCCAGTGGGCCAACTTCGGGCCAACAACTACGCATCTGTTGGCCCAACGTCGGCTTGAGCGGTTGACCCAACGTCATTTTGTCCAGCGGGCCAACGTTGGTCCAACAGTGGCAAACAATTATGTTGGCCCAACGTTGGTCTAATGTTGGCAAAAATTATGTTGGCCCAACGTTGGTCCAATGTTGGCTCGACAGTGCTTTAGTGCTAATGGCAATGTTGGCCCAACGTTGGCCTTGCAGAGGGAACAGATAGGTGGGTGGCCCAACGTTGGCCCAACAGTACTTTAGTGCTACCCAGATAGCACAACGACGTTGGGCCAACGTTGGTCCAACATTTGCAGCGTCTACAACGTCAGCGTACAGCCGTAAAATTGCTGACTTCAGGCCAACAGAAAAGTGTACCTTGACGACCTCGTACCAACGTCGGCCCAACGTCAAAGTACCGCCCTAAAATTGCTAACTTCAGACCGAAAAAGATGTGTCATTTGCCAACCTTGTACCGACGTCGGTACAACGTGAGCTTACAGCCGTAGATTTGCCGACTTCAGGCCAACGGAGAAGTGTGCCTTGACAACCTTGAACCAACGTCGGCCCAACGTCAAGGTACCGACGTAAAATTGCCGACGTTGGGCCAACAAAGACGTGCTATCTGGGTTTAAACCTTTAAAGGCGCTTTAGAAGAGTTTCCTTGGATTATCTGCCATCACTGTTCTCTTTTTCCAATGCAATATCCATCCTATCCTTGATGAATATTCAGAGACTATTAATTTGGTGTACTTTTGGCCAAACATTTTGAAATGTTTGTAACTTTTTCCCATTTGTTAGTTTAATCAGGATACTTGACAAATCAATGCAACTCTGGAAAACCTTTAAAATGATATGTGACACATACCCTGGAGACATTGGTATATGTCTGCTTAGGGGAGGGGGTCCCGTGCTTTCAGGACACCCTCGTAAGATAGGGAATACAAAACACTTTAAGCATGCATAAAAATGTAATACAATTTATTGACTGATGTTTTTAGACTGAAGCTGCAAATGAAGTCCTTGATAAACAGAAGAAAGATTTAGCAGTATTGGGAGACATGGACCTTAGTCAGTATGCCATAAAGGGATCGGAACATGAGTGGGACGAGGCTTTGGCAGGTACCAGTGTGAAAGGAACAGTTAGCATGAAAAGGTATTGAGTATATTGACTTTAATATGCATTGATTCTAGATTTTGCTATAATATAATTTATTCCATAAAATTGTTCACATGAGTTTTTCGGTGGCTTTTGGGTCAAACAGATTCCACCATAGCTTTTAAATGTCTGCATTTTGATTGCAGTGAGAAGAGAAAGGCGGATGAAAACAAGACCCCGGGTAACTCATCTCACAAGAAGTCCAAAAAACAGAAGACCCCAAAGTCGGGGAAGAAAGGAAAACATTGAGACATTCAGAAACTGATTATTTTGAACATTTTAT